CGATATTTTGAAACGTTGAATTAAAAATTTCAAAAATTGAAAACAACCCTTTCCGAACGGACCAAATTATCGCCAAAAATGCGAAAAATTCTCGACGCGCCCCCGAAATCTCATGACTTTTGAAGAAAGTTGGGTGTAATGGGTTGCGATGATAAATGTAAACAGCCTTTCTTTTACTGGAACAGTGGAAGAATTCGCTTTTGGCGAGCGTCCAGTGATAAATGGGAAATTTTTTGTTTTAACCCGGGATTAGTTTAAAAAAATTGATGAGAAAATGGCGAAAGGACTAATCAAGGGTACCTCAAGTATAATATTTTCAATTTTGCTGCAGCTAAAGATTTTTAAAAAAAATTGATTTTTAGCTGCGAAAAAATCTTCGATTTTTCCCCGGATTTTTCTCAGTCTGTCGGGAAAATAATGAGCACTCTGTCGCATCGAAAATCGCATCGCCGCCGAGAAAATGAATTGTGTCGCGGCAAAATCAAATTGCTTTTCACTTCAGCGAGATTGTGCTCATTATTTTCCCGACAGACTGATATATTTTTAAATCCAACACTCCTGGTATTTTCATAAAGTGCATGGACATTTTTCGCGTCCCGCACCGTGCACAAGAACCCCGATTTCGCACCGTGCATTTCACTTTTGTTTTGTTTTTTGCACCGTGCATCGAAATATCGCCGATTCCCACGCTTGTCGCCAACGCACAGTGCATTTCCTCTTTTCGCACAGTGCAGACCTCATTGTTCAAAAAACCCCCATTTTGCACTGTGCGTTTCATCTTCTTTGGCTTTGCACTGTGCATTTGAAATATCGCCGCGACATAAGCTTTCTCCAACTGCGTCGCGTCTGCACAGTGCAAACCGCTTTCTTTTGGTTTCTCACGCTTGTCGCTAACGCACAGTGCACACCTCATTGTTCAAACATCCCCCATTTTGCACTGTGCATTTCACTTTTCTTTGGCTTTGCACTGTGCATTTGAAATATCGCTGCGACATAAGCTTTCTCCAACTGCGTCGCCGAGGGTCCACTCAAAATTTTTGCACAGTGCAAACGGCTTTTTGTGGTTTGCACTGTGCGAAAAAGAGGAAAATGCACTGTGCATTGGCGACAAGCGTGGGGAAAAGTTCGGAATGCACTGTGCGTTAGCGATAAGCATGGGAAAACGTTTTGCACAGTGCAAACGGCTTTTTGTGGTTTGCACTGTGCGAAAAGTTCAAAATGCACCGTGCGTTGGCGACAAGCGTGGGAAAACGTTCGGAATGCACTGTGCAAAAGGAAAAAATGTCCGTGCACTTTTTGGAAGCACTAATAGTAATTACTATGGTTTTTGACCCCAAAAATTGCTTTATTTGACCTTTGCCACCAATCTCGGAATCGTTTCATCGGAATTTGTCGAGAAGAAAAGGTTGATTGAACAACGTCACCGGAACGGAATTTCCCCGTTCAGACTTGGATTGTTTTACTTTTTTTTTACTGCTTAGGTGAACTAAATTGATTTGGGTGGGTCTTGAAGTCTCGTAGTAGCTCAATTAGCAAAGAACTTGCAAGAAAATAGAAAAAAAATGTTTTTTTTTATAAAAAATAAAAAATTTTTTATTTTTAATTTATGTTTTATGCCATTTACAATTATCTAGAAGGCAATTAAATTACCGTAGGGGAAATTTTTAATCAAAATTTATTTGATTTTTTGATTAAAAATGAGATTTTTAATCAATTTTTTCAATAAAAAAGCTTTTTTCTGTTGGTCAAAAAATTTTACAATCGATTTTTATTGTGTTTACAAATTTAATTCTTACGAGGGAATGGTCTGAACTTCCCCCAGCGTTTGGGAAAATGACTAGTACAGGTGGATAGAGCAGGTCAACTTTGGTAAAAAGAGCCATTTTCCAGCTGCGGAATAAGCCCGGCCGACGAGAAAAATCGACCGAAAGTTCCACAAAAATTTCTCTTTCTCTTCCCTCGGAAAAGAAGAGCGGTGTCCAGTGGTTCGGTTGGCCGAGTGGATAGAGCATCCGCTCGATATTCTTTTGGGGGTTGGCTCGATTCCGGGGCCTCGCGAAGGACCGTGATAAGGCTTTGATGAGCAAGATCAAACTCTAACAACCCAAAAAAAAATTTTCCTTTTTTATACGTTTTATAGGTTATGTAAAAATTTTTTGGCAATAACGAAATCGAGTACAGAGCGTTTCAAAAATATAGACATACCCTTTTCTATCACCAAACGAGTATAACTTCGACGTTCCATCGCTTTGAAGGTTTGGAAGAACCCAAAAAGTTCATTTTTTGACAATTATTGTTTTGGTATAATTCCCCTATAAAACGTTCCATGGCAAAATGTTTTTTGTGTTGTTAGAGTTTGATCTTGCTCATCAAAGCCTTATCACGGTCCTTCGCGAGGCCCCGGAATCGAGCCAACCCCCAAAAGAATACCGAGCGGATGCTCTATCCACTCGGCTAACCGAACCACTGAACACCGCTCTTCTTTTCCGAGGGAAGAGAAAGAGGAAATTTTTGTGGAACTTTCGGTCGATTTTTCTCGTCGGCCGGGCTTATTCCGCAGCTGGAAAATGGCTCTTTTTACCAAAGTTGACCTGCTCTATCCACCTGTACTAGTCATTTTCCCAAACGCTGGGGGAAGTTCAGACCATTCCCTCGTTAGTTTTCAACCTGAAAATTCAAAAAAAAAAATAAAAAAAAAATTTTTTAATCAAAAAAAAATCTCGAAAAATTCTGCAAAGCGCGACTCAAAATCTCTCATAATGTCTTAAAAAACTTCTCTAAATAATTTTCTCCACTTTCATCAAGTTTTACAAAAAAAAATTTTTTTTATTTTTTTTTTTTATTTTCCTCCCCCGCAACTGACAAAAAAAATATATAAAAAAAATAAGGTCCCAAACTTTTTTTGCACCCTGCGGAAGTACGTCAAATATATCCCAAAAACTTTTGCATCAATCATAATCGACGCACTCTAGTTTCCGTAAACAACCCCGAGTTTATATCGAATTTGATCTGGTTTTGATTTTTTGTGTAAAAATTTGGGTTATAAACCACAGCTCAAACGAGAGCATTCAGAGAACAAGACAAGGCTCAAAGTTCGGCGCAAAGACTTTGATGTGACTTGCGACAAATTTCAGGGAAGAATGCTCGAATTTTTAAGGGCATATGCATGCTTTTTTGGAGAAATTTTTGAGATTTTTAAATCGAAATTTTGGAAAATTCAAAAAAATTTTTTTTTGATTTTTTAAAAAAAATACTGGGCATTCTATTTGAGTTGTCGATTACAATATTCCCACAAAAAATCATTTTTTTCCTCGCAAAATTCGCAGAGATATAGCGAAAAAAAGAAAATTTCTCTGACCGCTCTCCGCATTTTCTGCAGTCTCTCGCAGAAAAGAATGTTAAATATCTCAGCTCTCGCTGCAAAGGGTAAGCTAAAATTTTCAGCAATTGATTAGTGGACTATTTACAAGTGATCTAGAAGAAAATCGAAAAAAAATTAAAAAAAAATTTAAAAAAAAAATAAATAAAAAAAAATACAAAAAAAATCCAAATTTCCCCGAAAAAATCATTGAAAAATTAACCTTGACTTCAGCACTTTGCCGTCATCTCCAATCGGTTAGTTGTACTGTATTTTGCACTTAGTCATCACTTGAATTACGCAATCGCTCAAGGCTAATCAAATGAAAAGTTCAAAGCCCTCGAGGAATGTGTATTTTCTGGTGTGATGCCTTTCGAAACTCGAGTGATTTCATTGAAAGTGGTGTCTGGAATCTTTGTAAACCACTTTTCAGTGGTTTGGAGTCATCAATTTTTACGAGCTTTTGCACGGTGCAGAAATTTTAAAACCCCAATTTTCGCACTGTGCAAGGATTTTTGAGGAATAAAAAGGAGAAAAATCGCTGAATAGCGTGTTCTAACACAATATAGGACTCTCATAATCTTTAGGACACTGTATTGGGCAAAAATTAGAATTCAATTCGCTTGCACGGTGCAGAATTTTAAATGCCCGAATTTTCGCACTGTGCAAGGATTTTTGAGGATAGAAAGGAGAAAGCATCGCGGAATGGCGGGTTCTAACACATTCTAGGAGTATCACAATCTTTCGGACACTATACTGAGCAAAAATTAAAATTCAATTCGTCTGCACTGTGCAGAATTTTGAAACCCAAAGTCTCGCACTGTGCGAAAATTTTTGAAATATTTTTTTTATGCATGGGGTAAATAAGTACTCTTATAGACAATTCTGTATTTTTTGGAACTTTTTTTGTCTTTCTCTGTACACAAAATTAGGACTAAATTCCGTTGCACAGTGCGGATCTTGAAAGTCCCAATCTCTCGCACAGTGCGGTATTTACAAACATTTTTTTAAGTGCACAGTACAAATATGACCTCAAGAACTCATGGTAATAAATCTGCGAGCCTCTAGTATCCTGCATTATACGAAAAATACACCAAAACTTACTGCACCGTGCAGATTTTGAAACCTCCAATCTTTCGCACCGTGCGGTATTTCCAAAAAACTTTTTTTGGAATGCACAGTGCAAATAGGGCGTCAAGAACTCATGGTAATAAATTTGAGAGTGTTTAGCATCCTGCACTATGCGAAAAACTAAATCACAAATTTTTGCACCGTGCAGTGCAGATTTTCAAAAAAAATTTTTGCACTGTGCAAGAATTTTTTTTCAAATCTTTTCCAAACAAAACTTCAATCCAAATCTCGAATTTTGCAGGGTGCGATTAAAGTCCATTTCGATCAGACAATGTTTTGTGTTGTGATTTGCCGAACGCCGAGAGAAAATGATTGAAAAAAAAGAAAAAATGGAGCGCCGACGTTGTGAAAATTGATGGTAAATAACTGCTCAACGTAGATTTGATCTGACAACGGGTCAGTCGCAAAAAATGAGCTGAAATTTCCAGAACAAAAAAGTTTTTTTTTCAATAATTTATCATGTATAACATAAAGTCAAAAAAACTTTTTTGAAAAAAATAAAAAATAATAATTATGAAAGCTCGATGACATCCAATAAGGTCTTATTTAGGGTTTCTACGTCTTCAATCTCATGATTCCATTGGATTTGGCCCTGTTTTGTGGCCAAAACCGCCGCTCCGAAGGCGGCCGAATGGACGGGCTCAAAAAGTTTGACCACTTTGACGTCCGACTGCGCGCGCAGGGCGGATTCGAAGCCTGGAAAGGGCAAATAAAGAAAAATGGAATAATTTTTGGTCCATTTTTTTCCCAATTTTTCGCTGTGGGACCAAAAATTACATCTGATGTCTAGTACAATATAATATAATTTTTGACGCAAAAATTATGAAAATACCCAGCCAAACTATATTTGCAATCATTTTAAGCTCAAAACACCTCAAAGTTTACATTACAATACATAAAATCCAATAAGATATCAAGTGTAATGTAATTTTCATCAAAAATTTGCAGTCTTCTCCAATAAATCATTTCCGCTAACTCTCAATTTCCTCGTCTATCGCGATCCATCAGATTTGTTTGGATTTGCGCGCAATTGACGTCATTTCCGTGGAGAAAAATGAGAAAAGGAGTCAAATTCGACCAATTTGGATGGGAACCACGAATCCAGTAAGTCGGATTCGAGGAATACATGACGTACATTGGATTTAAAACGTCTGTCGTACCTCAGCTAACCATCTGAGACCAAAATTTTAAATCTATTTCCAAAAAAATCAAAATTTTATTTTGGCAGCCTGCGCCCTATGAAATAATTTTTTCATTAGCAGGCTGCGCCCTATGTAATAAATCGTCTTAAAAATAAAAGAATAGACAAAAAAATGTAAAATACGACGACCCCTTCAACTGGAAAACTTTTAGACGCAAATTACTCTCGGCAGCTCGCGCCCTACCAATTCCTCAAAATTCGTTCAAATCGACAAATTTTTTTTACAATGCGATACATGACAGATCTAGAAACACTTCTAACTTCCTACGCAAAATTCCTACTACACTTTCCCGGAATAAAAGAACTTTTTTGTTCTCCATCTCCACGCTACCGTAGCCCAAGTCCATTTCGGTTCCAAACTACGGGGATTGACTGAAATTTGGGACGAAAACAAGTCACTTGAGCAAGAATTAATCGAATTTAAGACGGTGCACAGTGTGATCTTTGCCCTTTTCGAAAAAAACTAGCCATTTTTTTGTTCCACCCAAAAAATTGAAGGAAAATTGTAAAATCAAGGGGCAAAAATTGCTAAACAACCCTTAAAATGGAATATTTACCTGATTTGAGCAGATCCCAGCTCCTGAAAACCGACCCAATTGCCAGCACATTCAGTTCGCGTTTGTGGTCCTAAAACAATATAATTGAGCACAAACTCGCAAAAAAAGGGAGTGAAAAAAATATTACATCTCATTATTCCTCTAATAATTTTATATGTCATCTTTTGAAATCAAAATTTCATAAAAATTGGCTTTTATAAAAATAAGCTTGGGCGCAGCTCGCGACTTTGTCGAATTGAAAAAACAACTTAAATTAATTTGTTTTTTTTTCAATTTTGATTTAAACACAGTCCATTAACTGCCAAAAAAATCATAAATTTCGAATTTCGGCTTATTCCCAAGAAAGGTAAGGGCGCAGCTCGCCGATCAAAATTATCGCTAAAAATATTTTAAATCACCAAAAATTAATTTGAGATGCTTCCTGACCACAAATTCCGCCAGAAATCCGCAAAAAAATTATTTCCCGCAATACTCAAATCAAAGTCTAGGGCGCAGCTCGCCGATCTAAATTATAGCTAAAAATATTTTATATCCTCAAAAATTATTTGAGAAGCTTCCTGGCCCCAAATTCCGCCAGAAATCCGCGAAAAAATAATTTCCCGCAATTCTCAAATCAAAGTCTAGGGCGCAGCTCGCCGATCAAAATTATCGCTAAAAAATACTTCAAATCATCAAAAATTATTTAGAGCTGCTTCCTGACCACAAATTCCGCCAGAAATCCGCGAAAAAATAATTTCCCGCAATTCTCAAATCAAAGTCTAGGGCGCAGCTCGCCAACTTAAAAATTAACAAATACTCGGCAAAAACAATATAAAAGAATACCTACCGGCTCCAAATGCCTCGACAGCGCCACTACATGCTTTCCCAACACATCTCCGGCGGCTGCAAAGCTCTCCGCCGCCAAAGGATCCTGTCTGGCCAGGCCAGCCAGCCTCTCGCAAAACGACGCAACATTCGCCTTCACATTCTCATTCGCATATAAAATATCGAGGATTTGGAGTTTATCAGTGAGATTGAAGTGCTCAAACAGGGCGGATTCCAATGGCTTCAAGTCGAATTGAGAGGTTTCGAGGAGATCCGTGAGATCAAAATATTGTTGAATGGCTCTGAAAAAAAGAATTTTTTGAGGGGAGAAAATTGAAATTTAGAGGCTAAAAATCAGTTTTGTCTAACTTTTATGTCAAAAAAATTTTAAAAAATTGTAATTTTTTTTTCAAAAAATTTTTTTCTTTAAATTTCGACCAAAAAATCGCGTGGATTTCTTTTAAAAATAAAAAAATAGATCAAAAGAATTATCTAAAAATAATTTTTCTGCCAAATTTCATCAAAAACAATAAAAAAAAAAAAAAAATAAAAATCTTAAAAAATCGACCAAAAAATTTGTATCCAGAAGTCTCTAATATCCTCCAAAAAACTACTAAATTACAATCTTCATCTCAATTCTCATGAATTCTACCCAAAATTTTTATGAAAAAAAAAATTTTTTAATTTCGACCAAAAAATCGCGGCGATTTCTATAAAACGCGATCTTAAAATGTTGCAAATGCAAAAAAAACTAGTCTAAAAATAATTTTTTTCTAAGCTTCATCAAAAAAAAATAAAAAAAAAATGTAAAAAAAATCTCAAAAAATCGACCAAAAATCCAAATTTTCGACCAAAAAAACCGCATCCAAAAACCTCTAAAATCCTCCAAAAAACAAATAAATTATAATTTTTGTCTCAATTCCATCAACTCTACCTTCTCGCGATCCAATAAGCGCTTCCACCGTCGCTGATCAAATGGCCCCATCCGCCCGCACAGTGAACTTTGTGGTCGGGAGTTAACAATCGCGCCGCTGATCCGGTCCCACAAATCAGGACAATTCCGCCCTTTTCCAGCGGGAAATTGGCTGCGACCGCCGCCACAGAGTCCGAGGTCAGGTATATTGTGTCGGCGATGTCATTATGCTCGGATTTTATGTAATTCACCACTTTTTGATTGAATTCGGCGGATTCCGCGCCGGCTAGGCCCATTCCCTGAAAACAAAATGGCTTAAAATTATTCTAGGCCATCAATTTCATCAATTTTTCACTCAAATTTGATTTTTTTGAAAAATCAAGTTTTCGTGGTGGGACCAAAAAATTTAAAAAAATCAATTGCAAAATGATAAAAAAACAAGTTCCAACGGTCATATTCACCACAAATAAACCCAAATAAACTTTCTCAGACACTATTTGTCCCAAAAAAATTAAATTTTAGGTCCCACCACGAAAACCTGCAAATCCTCAAAATCTCCCAAAACCGTCTAAAATCGTTCCCAAAATACCTACCATCGCTCTGACTGGCAAATTAATCTTCGCATTCTTCGCCAATATCCTCATATTGTTGGCTATTCGATCACCAGTCCCTTCAACCCCAACCAGGATACAATTGAGTCCGTCGGCTTCATTCGTCTGAACTGTCTTTCCATCCTCGTTGAAAATGTAGTATCTCGATATGGTGGCTCCTCTGGAAGTAATTTAATTGAAAGAATCAGTCATTTCAATAAAAATTTGAAATTCGTAGGGCGCAGGCTGCGGAGTGGAAAAAATTTAAAAAAAGTTCAAAAATTGGATTTTTGATCATTAAAGAGGTCATGGAGTATTTATATACTGCTCTGAAAAAACACCGACTGAAATTTCCAAAAATTTTCATATGCATGGGCGCGAGCTGCCAAATTATAAACAGCTAAAATTAGTAAAAAAAAATGGGTTTACAAGTCTAGTATGCTCTGAAAAAATAGCTTTCTCTAATTTTACCCCAGAAATAATCAAATTTTCAAAATTTGAATTAGCTCGGGCGCAGCTCGCCAAAATGAAAAACCCGCAAATACCCGAAAATTCGAATAGTTTCTGCTCACTCCCGCCTACTGCAATCTTAATCACAATTCCGTTCAATAATCAGTTCCTTCATACCGCATTTACAGAGTAATCTTTGCCTTTTCCACGTAAATTCTGCATTTCGCGGAAATTACTCGGTTCATGTGACAATTAAAATTACAAATGAGCTTCTTACGTAATTTTCTATGTTTTGAAATCAAATTACTTGTAATTGGATGTGTAAACAGTAAAGAACTTACCCTTCTACGCCCGCGAAAAATCGATGGTCCGAGTGGGCTGAAAAAAAGAGGAAAAATACGATTTTTTGTGCAAAACAGGAGCAAATAAAACGTGATAAGTATTGATGAATCTTTTTCAGACCTTGATTTTGTCAAATTGACCAGAAATTGCAATAATTTTTTAACTTTTTTTAAAAATTTTTTTGAAAAAATTGGATTTTTTGTAGAAGAATGGTAAAATTTGGCAAAAAATCAAGTAAAATTTTGCTAAATCCGGATTATAAAAATAACTTATAGTCTATAAATTTAATTTACGTTAAAAAAGCCATCATTTTCTATCGTTAAAAACTCAAAAAATCCGAAAAATCGCCGAAAATCCTGTAAAATCATCAAAAATTTTGGTTTTTTACATTTTTCAATATTTTTCCAATAAAAAATCAGCAAAATTTTTGCTCCAAATAAGAGCTAATATAATTTTCAGTCCACTCATTACTTTTTGAACTAAAATTTTATCCAAAAAAAGTCGAAAAAATACAAAAAATTATCAAAAATTGGCAAAAAATCCGATTTTTTGCAATTTCCCCAAAACCTTTTCAATTTCAACCCTCAAAAATCGCTGAACCCATCTCAAAACCTACCCATAATCACTCCCAACTGCAGAGAGTGTTCCCTTTCGACTTGGCGGATCAATCGGGCCTCCAATTTATATTGTTTTAGGAGGTATTCAATGGACCAGGAAGAGCTGAAAAGCCCACTTTTAATTCGAAATCGACCACTAACAAGGTCAATAAAGTAATTATTCGGGGAGATTAATCAATTTTAGCGTGAAAAAATGACCACGTTGGACATGAATTGACCTTGCTCGAAGCGAATTTTTTGAGAGAGAAACTTTTTTTTTCGCGGCTCTTTTTCGTCTCCTTTTTGATGGAAATGAATCATAAAGTGCTGTAAAATTAATGGACTTGATGGAAATCAGATAATTTTAACGTTTGTAACTGAAAATTGACACTTCTAAAAATTTGAAAAAAAAAATTTAAACAAAAAATTGAAAATTTTTTTGGCCAGAAGCTTGTGAAAAATTAGGAATTTGTCTGTGGTGCCTGTAGAAAATGTCTGCCAAAATTTGAAAGAAATCTAAAGCGCCTTTTCCCGTAAGCTAGGGCGCAGCCTGCCAATCATAAAATGGTGAGAAAAAAGAGGGAAATGATGGGTAAAACAGAAAAGCAGTAAATGTTAAAAAATCTATAAAATTTTTAGCTATGTAAAATATATTTTTTTTTCTGAAATACAAATTCAAAAAAAAAATAAAAAAAATCAAAAAAATTTTTTTTTTTGATTAAAGAAATTATAAAACCGACTTCTCCAGTGCTAATTACCTTCATAAGTTTCCAAAAATATTTATTAAAACAGGTTTTGCGAAAGACTCGAGCTTTCAGATTTGCCTTGTGCACATGAAACAGGATGTCGCAGCAGAGCCGTGAAACAGTAACCATAGGTTTCCCTAATCACGAGTATTAAATTTCAGAAAATTTTTTTTTGATTATTGGCCTACTGTAGGTGTACTGTAGCTTTCCCGCATTTCCAGGATCTCGGCTACAAGAGGTCGGATTGTATCCGGACCTTCTCTGAATTATAGAATGGACAATTCTAAGCATCTTTCATGTTGGGCACTTTTTCCTATCTGTGCCGGAAGTATTCTAAAAATTTGCATAATTGTCAAAAAATTTACATTTTTCAAATTTTATAGAAAAATTTGCATAATGGCATGACATTTTTATTGCTCTAAAAGATGCTCCGTAATGTGGAAATTCAAACGGTATATAGATCACCGCAAGGGGTTCTGCCTATGTTGCAAACGGGTCGTCTAAATATTGGTTCATCAGGAATTAAAGTCAAATTTTGTCAAAAAAATTTGATGTTTGGTATGACCAAAGATTGTATTAGACTTCAAAGTTGTTCCAAAGTAAAAATAGGTAATTAAAAAATTGATTTGCGGCATTTTTTTTTGACATTTGCACCCAGCCGGGATCGAACCCGGGACGCTGGAATGGTAGTCCCGCCCACTAACCACTACACCACGAAATTTGTCGTACCACTTTTTGCACTTTTTTTGATTGCATCTAGAGCAGAATTTTACGCAGATTAACATATCAAAAAATCAGCTGGGGGTTTTTAGAAACAAGGATTTTACGGCCGTTTTTTTCGGCCAATACTGTATCACGGGAAGTTACAGTAGGAAACTAAAAAAAATAATAGCTCCGTCGTGTTAGCAATGGTCGAAAACATCAGTAAGCTTAAAATTGTTGTATTCAGAGCTAAAATACGACAACTATAAGCGATTACTTAAAAAACAGTAAATTGTAAAAAAATATATCTTATTGGAGGATTTCGCAAAAAAACGTCCTTCGCTTTTGCTTAGCATCTATCGACGGTCGTTTTAATGCAAAAATCTCAAAATTGATTTTTTCCTATGTCCACTGACTCAGAAATCGTCTTTTAAAGATTTATAACATTATTTTGTCATAAAATTACATATTTTTACTTTGGAACCACTTTGAAGTCCAATACAATCTTTGGTCATACCAAACACCACATTTTTTGACAAAATTTGACGTTCAGAAAATTAAATTCCTGATGATCCAACATTTAGACGACCCGTTTGCAACATAGGCAGAACCCCTTGCGGTGATCTATATACCGTTTGAATTGCCACATCACGGAGCATCTTTTAGGGTAATAAAAATGTCATGCCATTATGCAAATTTTTTTATAAAATTTGAAAAATGTGAATTTTTTGACAATTATGCAAATTTTTAGAATACTTCCGGCACAGATAGGAAAAAGTGCCCAACATGAAAGATGCTTAGAATTGTCCATTCTATAATTCAGAGAAGGTCCGGATACAACCCGACCTCTTGTAGCTGAGATCCTGGAAATGCGGGAAAGCTACAGTACACCTACAGTAGGCCAATAATCAAAAAAATTTTTTCTGAAATCTAATATTCGTGATTAGGGAAACCTATGGCTACCGTTTCACGACTCTGCTGCGACATCCTGTTTCATGTGCACAGCTAGCTCGACCCTTACAAAAAAGCTGTTTTAAAAAAAACGATTAAAAAAAAATTACAAAAAAAAATTCAAAAATCGATTTTTCAAAAAAAAAATTTTTGATTTAAAAATCGTCAATTTTCCCCCTAAAAACAAAAAAATCTCCTCCGTTTTTATCCCAAAACCATTTGAATTCCCCAAAAAATATAAAACACATTGCAACGTGTCCATTCTCCTCTCAAAAAAGCCGAGAGAAAAACCAATTCCCCCCCCTTTTTCAAAAAAAAAAAAAAAAATTCTAAACTTACTCCCGATTTTGATAGGAAAAAATTAATTTTGCCTCCGGGAATTTGTCGATTATGCAGCGGATTGTCTTTATAAGCGGCTCAAATGTGATTGGATCGAAGAAAATATCGGATCCAACGATAAAATCGAGCCGCTCCAAGGTGGATAGCCAATTCTGAGTGGCGGAAAGGGCGTTCCAGTCAAGCTCCTGGAAATAAAAAAAAATTTTAAATAAAAAAAAAAATTTTGAGGCAAGAATTTGATCGAGATGTGTCAAAAATTTCATCTTTTGGAGGTTTTAACAAAATTTTTTTTTTTTTTTTTTTATGAAAATTGGCCTACAATTAGATAAGCCATTTTTTAGTGGGTAATTTTAGAGTGATTTGAAACAGCCATCAACATTTTCAGGTCCCAAAATTTTGAAAAAAAAAATATATATATTTTTTTAAAAATTTTTGTGATTTTACATAAAAAAAATCACCAAAAATCCCAAAAAATCAAAATTTTTGGCAATTTTCTGCCTAAAAAATCAACTGTATCCTCCTAAATCGACTCCCCCTCCATGAAAATACTCAATATTTTCAACTTTTCTCACCTTGACTTCCACTTTTTCGAGCTCTTCGTTGCTCAAATTCCTCTTCAAATTTTCATGAATCTTCTCCAAGCAAACGTTTTTATCCGTACAATAAACTTTTCTCACGCCGAGACGAGCCAGTAGGATCGATGGAACACAGCCAACACCTGAACCGAGCTCGAGAACAGTTGAGGATTCGAAAACAAGGGGGTTTTCGAGGACAAATTCAGCTGAAATTGTGGATAGTAAAAATCAGAAATTGGAAATTCGCAAAGATTAAAAATGGTAAGATTGATAGGGTCCTGAGATAGCTTATCACCTAATTTGAGGTATTTTACATGTACTCACATCAATAATATCAAGATAAAAGTTACGGATCTTCGTTTTTTCCTGCAAATTTTGGTCTTTTATATGTTGCAATACCTCAGGGTGAATAAAACTAACGCTGGTAATAGCTCAAATCAGAGATTGCCACGGCTCCGGAGCCGGAAATTTTGGGGTCGGCTCCGGCTCCCGAGCCCAAAGTCGGAGCCAGGCTTCCCAGCGGACAGAAAAGTAAACATTTCGTGATCTTGTTAAACCAAATTGCTTGAAAAACACTGCGGAGGATGTGACTTGACTGCAAAAACGTTGGCTGTATGATCTCTGGCACTAATAACTTTTATTTTTGGAAAAATATTTTTAAAAAGACGTTTTGCATAGGAGCCGGGATTCGGAACCGGAGGCCTTTTTAAATTTCGCACGGAGCCAAGAGCCGGAGCTGCAAATTTGGCCTCGGCTCCGGCTCTGGGAGCTAAGAGCCGGAGCCGAAATTTTGACCGTGGCAATCTCTGCTTGTAATATGTCTAATCATACCCAAAAAAGGTTGTAGGAAGTGCTTACCAGGCCTGGAAAAGCGTTGGATGCTCGGCAAAGCCTCAGCGGAGACCTGGCGAAGACTTGCAATACATCCACTCTTTATAATTTGAGCCAGAGATTGCCACGGTCAAAATTTCGGCTCCGGCTCCGGCTCTTTGCTCCCAGAGCCGGAGCCGAGGCCAAATTTGCAGCTCCGGCTCCGGCTCTTGGCTCCGTGCAAAATTTAAAAAGGCGTCCGGCTCCGAATCCCGGCTCCTATGCAAAATGTTTTTTTTTAAATATTTTTCCAACAATAAAAGTTATTAGTGCCAGAGATCATACAGCCAACGTTTTTGCAGTCAAGCCACATCCTCCGCAGTGTTTTTCAAGCAATTTGGTTTAACAAGATCACGAAATGTTTACTTTTCTGACCGCTGGTAAGCCTGGCTCCGACTTTGGGCTCGGGAGCCGGAGCCGACCCCAAAATTTCCGGCTCTGGCTCCCGGCTCGGAGCCGCTCAGAGCCGGAGCCAAGAGCCGGCTCCGGAGCCGTGGCAATCTCTGATTACAAGTCTCCGCCGAGCGTCCGCCGACCTGTTGGATGTCCAGGCCTCGTAGCCACTTCCTACAACCTTTTTTGGGCATCCCCTACGCCCGGAATCGACCGATTTTGTGTTGACCCGAAAAGTCGTAACGCCATAAACAATAGGGGAAAAAAATTTGCCCAGAAGTATGTAAAAATATTTTTAATTCAGGGAGAAAAATATAGACCCTAAAAATTGAAGGAAAATCCAAAAAAAAATCAATTACAAATTGGATTGGAATTGTATAAAAAATACATCATATAGAATCGAAAAATCCAAAAAAAATACGAATTCCAACTCCAGTATTCCTGTCTAACTACCCTTTAATTTTTTTTCTGTCTCTCCGTTACGCAACAAAATCAACCCAAAATTTGAATTTCACTGCAGAAAATCCACAAAATCGAAGCAGAAAAATAAAAAAATTGCAGAAAAACAGGAACAAAAGGCAGAAAAAGTGGGCGAACAATCTCCCAGCACGCTTTCATTCATCATTTTACATGGCCTGTCAGGTGGTGATTACATATTTTTTATCTGTTTTATATTATTTTAGCCAAAATTTGGTCATTTTTTATTATTTTTTCTTAAATTTACCTATTTTATTATGAGTAAATCGTATTTTAGGGCTGTCCAATAAATTTTTATTCCATTAGGCGTCTTCTGCCTTCTTTGCAATCAAATTTACCTTCGAAATTTTTCGATTTTTTTTGATTTTCGCAAAATTTTTCATCAATATCGACAATTTTTTGGAATTTTTTTAGAAAAATCAACCCAAAATTTTTCAGCAAAACCTCTCAAAATCGACAATGAGCTCCACTGCCATCTCTACTATTGCCAACTCTTCCAAATCGGCAGTCAAAATCGATCCCTGGAACGATTTTGCCGTTAAGGATGCCAGAAGAGAGGCCAAAGATGCGATGTGGCTCATAAAAGCGATTGTAACGGAGAATCAGAAAAAGTTAGAGGCAAAAGAGAAGAGCTCAAGTCTTCAGAAGACCACAGAGGACAAGGAGAACCAAAAGAAAAAGGATGATTTTGAATTCAAACGGCCCAGGATTCAGTTTAATCGGAAGTCCAACAGCTCAAGGATGAACAAGGTAAATCGACTTTTTTACAATTTTTTCTTTATCGTTATAATTTTTTGAGTCAAAATAGAGCAGTAGACATCTGATTACACCTATAACAGTCAAAAATTTCGCTTTTGCAAAAAATTTTTAGTCATCATTTTTGCCTACTGTAATATAAAAAGTGTAAAATTTATGGCAAAAAATGGTCCTAATGTAATCAACAAGGGTTATAAGGACAATACAAGAATTTATTTTGTTCTTGGCACCTCATTTTTTATACTTTTCAAAATTTTTTTAGTCATCATTTTTGCCTAGTGTAATATAAAAAGTGTAAAATTTCTCCAAAAAAGGCTCTAAATTTACTCCCAAATGGTTAAAAATATATTACAAGAAATTATTTTGCTCTTGGCACCTCATTTTTTATACTTTTCAAAAAAAATTTTGCCTAGTGTAATATAAAAAATTTCAAAATTATATTAAAATATAGGTCTACGTAATCTTACAGGCCTCGAAAAATTGGTGTAAAGACTTATTTTCTCTCTCAGACATTTATTTCGATACCTTTTGACCACTTTTTGCCTACTGTAATATAAAAATTTCGGAATTTCCCCAAAAAATCCCCCAAAATCAGACTAAATCACCCTTTCAACCACTATATCTCACTCAAATTTCTTCTATTTTCAGCTCAAGCCACTCCAATCCAAGCCGGAACCTCCTCCATTCCCGTACGAGATGATCCAGTACTTCACAAAAGAGGAAGTGGACCGGATGATGATGCCTCCACCGAGCAAAAGGCCCATTCGCAAACGTCGGATGCCAGTTGAGGATCGCTCTGATGAGATGTGCGACCTAATGAGCGAGTTTCGACGGGTCAGAAAGGAGCTGAAAGACGCCGAGCACGATTGGGAGCGGAAGAACTGGATGGACTACCACAAAATGTGCATGCAGCGGTTGGATCTGCTCCGAATGAAGATGGGAGTCAAACGGAGAAGGCTTTAAGCTATTTTTTCTGTCGTATTATTTAATATTCTCATCATTTTTTACAATTTATTTCACTTTTTCTTCATTCTTACCGATATTTTATAGAAAATTGCTCAAAAAATCTCATTTTTTTCCAAATTTTTTTATTTGTTTGTTAATATTATTGTGTAAAATTGTTGTTAATTTGTTTGTTAATAAATTTTCCGTGAAAATCATTGATAAAATTGGGCTTTTTATATTAATTTAGGTTGATATTGTCATCAAAAAGTAAAAAATCAAAAAAAGGTATCCAAATGACTCCAAAACCCCAAAAAAAAATTAATTAAAAAAATATACGACCACTACCACCATATAGGATCACTACCACCACTTTTTCCAAAAAAACTTTTCCAAAAATAAAAAAAAAATCAAAAAAATCTCCAAAAAACTTACAAAGATAAGGTAAAGCCGGCCAGGAGTGTTTCCAGACGTCTTCTAAGCCTGACATACACGTCTAAACAGAACAATCTTTACAAATTTCCATAAAAATAAGGTATTTCTTACTGTAATTCTCACAATTTTTTGGAAAAAATCCGATTTTCCAGGATTTTTCAAAATAAATATCTCTTTATTACAATTTAGCAACCACAGAGTGGGAGACTAAGAGCAATACAGTCTGAAAAGCACTTCTAAAACATTTTTGACCATCGTTGGTTCACAGTACCCAGTCAGCGGAGATTTTTTCGTATTCTTCTTCGGATATGAGGGGGGTTTGGAGGAGTCTGAAAAGGAGTCAAAAATGAAAAAGAAATCGATAAAAATAAATCAAAAATATCCTAAAATCGATCGATTCACATTTCTACCCTCAAAATCTGCAAAAATCCCAAATCGCGTTATAGAGAAACATTCGCGTTATGTGGAATTTCAATAAAAATTTGTTCTGAGATGGCCAAAAATGATTTTTTTACATCAAATTCTGCAAAAATCTCAAACCGCGTTATACAGAAATATCCGCATTATGCTAAATTTCAACAAAAAATTGATCTGAAATTGCCGAAAATCGATTTTAACATCAAATCCTGCAAAAAAATCAATCCGCGTTATGCAGAAATAAATCGCGTTATAGAGAATTTTTTGAAAAAAGTGATCCAAAAATGTCAAAAACCCTTATTTCAAATTAAATTTCGAAAAAAGAAATTCAAAAAATCTCTTTTTCAATCTTAAAACTACTTTTATAATGCACTCCCAACTTACTGCATGATCCTTTGTTGGCTGCAGAATGGGCACTCCCGGCAGGTAAACTGCGTCATCTTTTGCCTCAATTTGGCCAAAGTTTGCTCTGTTTCCAGTCGATCCTTCCCGGATTTCAGAGCAATCTCGGTTTTTAGGGATTTTTCATGCTCTTTCATTTTGCTGTACAACTTTTTCTCCTTCTTAAAAGACTTGAATTAAATTTTTCAAGAACTAAAAGACTTCTAGACTTGATTCCAAGGGCCAAAAATTGTTTTAAAAAATAAAAATTTCGTCAAATTTTTCAATGTCTCACCTCGGTAAAAATGCCTTCCAAATATTCGATCAGGCAGTCCTGATGGAAAAAATGTCGGCAGTTGAAGGCGAAGAAAGGGGCCAGAAGAAGATTCGCCGAGCAAATCGCGCATTTATCGCCGCTTTTCACCACCAAAATACTGAAAAAATAAAAATGATAAAAATAAAATTTAAAATCGAAAAAAAAATAAAAAAAAATCAAAAATTCGAAAACCTAAAAAATGACAAATTACGAAAAATCTAAAAATATAGAAAAATCAATGAAATTAATTTACCTATCGCAAAAAAATAAATAAAAAAAATTATGAAATTTCTGTTAATAAAAATCAAAAAATGAATTAAAAAAGCAAAAAATATAAAAAAAAGATGAAAATTAAATAAAAAAAATCCCAAAAATATTGAAAAATCAGAGAAATTAATTTGTGAAAAAATCGCAAAAATAAATTTGAAATATAAAAAAATCGCAAAAATCCAAAAAAACACGAAATAAATTTTTAAATTCTTTTTTAAAATTTATAAAAAATTTTAATTCATCCAAAAATAAACAAAAAATTAATAAAAAATAAAAAATCTTACTTTGTCGACGACTTCTCCGTTTGAGACCTGAGTTGAGCCCCACATTCCGTTCGTTGATGAATTTCCTTCTGCAATTCACTAATCTGTTTCGAATGTTCTTTCAGAAACTCGCACAATGGCTGTTTGAAATGTTCGATTTTTGTGAATTCCGGGAAAAGCGGTAAAATATCTTGAATTCTCAGCACATTTCCCGACTCTTTCAATATCGCCGTGCATTCCCCGACCTCCGCGCCATTCTGGATCATGTGTTTTACTAAAACCAAATAAAAATTTTGAAAAAATCAAAAAAATTTACATTATTTTAGGCAAAAATCTCACCAATTTTGAGCCAGACCCGTTTTTTAGTTTCTTTGCTGACTTTCTGCGTTCCAAAATTGATGTCTACTTCTCCTCCGAGCAGAAATAAGTCGGGGTTTTCGTCGGTGTCCAGCTCTTTCGCGCATTCTTTCGCCAATTTGATGTCAATCTGAAGAAAAATGAAAATTATAGGGCGCAGCTTGCCAAAATACCCACTCCAGCCACCGTAAAAAATCCTGAAATTCCCAATACTAGCCATCCCTCACCTTGTTTCATCAGATTGAGTACGGAAAGGTCCGCTGTGCGGAAAGGTCCGCTGTCCGGAAAGGTCCGCTGCGGAAAGGTCCGCTAAAAAAAGGAAAAGAAGAGGGTGGGAAAAAAGGATTTTTTTGTGAAATTTGAATAAAATTTGAAATGTTTTCGCTTCGGGACTTGGAAGAAAGGATTTTTTGTGAAAATCGAAAAAAAAATTGAAATGTTTTCGCTTCGGGACTTGGAAAAAAGGATTTTTTGTGAAATTTGAATAAAATTAGAAATTTTTTCGAGCTGACTGAGTATGAACGAATATGAAAACTGGGTTTCTGTTACTTTACTACCTTTAGGGATTCTTTTTGAAATTTTTTCGACTTATAACACTTTTAGACGTTAATGGTGTTGTTTTGGTGCCTAGTACTGCTTAAAAAACACATTTTTACCACTTGGTACTAAATAGTACTACCTGGTACTATTTAGTACGAGGTGCAAATTTGGCCGTAAGGCGGTAATGGCGTTGGTTTGGTGCTTAGTAGAACCCAAAAACACGTTTTAACACTTGGTACTATATAGTACCAGCTGGTACTGTTTAGTGAGAAGTGAAAATTTGGCCGTAAGGCAGTAATGATGATGGTTTGGTGCTTAGTAGAGCCCAAAAACACGTGGTACTATATAGTACCAGGTGGTACCATTGGTATTAGACAAAATTTTAGTGCTGGCGGCACCACAGTTAATATTCAGTCAGACACCCTTTTTTCTACTCCCGATGCGAAAAGATTTCAAAATTTTGTTGAATTTTCCAAAAAATTCTTTTTTTTCCCAGTCTCGAAGCGAAAACATTTAAAATTTTTTTCAAATTTCACAAAAAATCCTTTTTTTCAAGTCTCGAAGCGAAACCATTTTAAATTTTTTTCAAATTTCACAAAAAATCCTTTTTTTCAAGTCTCGAAGCGAAAACATTTTAAAAAATTTTTTTTCGAGACTAGTCACACCTAAAAATCAAATCACCAAGTACAATATAACTTACGTCTAAATCCATTATTCAAAAAATTTTTTTAAAAATTACTAGTTAACACTACTGCCTAAGCAAAATTGTAAAATTCAGAAAAAATGGATACGATATTCGAAATCGGCGCCTTCGAAAACCTCCCCCTCCCCTCCCTCCTCTTTTCTTTTTTAGCGGACCTTTCCGCACAGCGGACCTTTCCGCGCAGCGGACCATTCCGCACAGCGGACCTTTCCGTCCTTCGTGGTTTAGTTTTATTTGGCGGCGTGGCCGGTTCTGGATCGTCTAATTCCGACATACTCCTTAGGTCTTTATTAGATATACCAAAATGCAAAATACAATAATAAACATAAAAACCCCAAAACCACGGAGTGCCCCTCGGCCCCATCCTGTCGGAGGGCCTAGATATGCGATCCGAGGGTCCCCTCACTCTAACCTCTCGGTCACATCGACTGGCCAACCGATCGGGCATTCGCCTCGATCGGGCCGTTGACCTAGTTTCAAGATCGAGTAAAGGGGCGGAGTCTGAACCCTTAACTCCTCCGGGCCTTTTAGAAATTGCTTGTCCTCAAGCAATATATACGGGTATTATATGTGACAAGACGAGCTCTTTCTTGAGCACTTATTATATCCCAAATATATAGACTAGGGGCAAGGAAAATTGGCAGAAAGACAAAAATAAATCGTAACAATCTATAAGAAACATAAATGACATCGTTGTCGGAATGTTCCAATGAATACTTCTTTGATGACGCTGAACTGTGGACTGGCTGGCTGGTTGTGCTTTGCTCGGTCACCATCGGTCTGGTATGTTTGCTGTTGAATTCAGTTGTCGATGAAATGGGTCGAGTAGTTTTCCAACGTTCCTTTCTGCGGGGCTTTTGGAAAATCATCGTCCTCGATGATCCAACGACTTCTTCCATATATCTTCAGGTTTAAACGTAGCTATACGGAAAACAGCTGGTGGTCCTTGGATGAAGATTTAGTTTTCTCCAATAACTCTACCACTGAACTGAATTTTGGCATTTTCACTTTCTTTCTTTGGTCTGTTATGACACACAAGCGAGAAATGGATCCAAGTTCAATTAGCACACATGTTTGGCTTGTGGGGGTGAAACTCCTCGCAATCGCTTGTACTTGCGAAACCATGAGGCCATTTGATTTATAAACCTGAGTTTTCTCTTTTGGACATTTTACAACGCAACGGTTCCGGGAAACGCTTGAGGTTGTTGTGCCAAAGGGTAACTAACGATTTGTTTATCCAATTGATTGTCTTCGTCCGGTTTTTTAACGCAACATTTGTTATGAAACACAGGACAGACACATCATCTAGAATTCTCTGTGCTATGCGGACCATTGCTCATGTATTCGAAACTGACACAGGGCGTCCTCAAAGGTCGCACGCTGTTCAGCGGGAACAGCCTCGATGTAACGTCGGGCTTGTCCGTCCTTTCGCACTATCTTCGGTCAGATTACTGCACCGAATAAGGTCAGAAATCTTCATGGCCAGATTGCTGATTCTGGCCAAGCCGGCTGAAGCCGTGCTCGACTCGAGATTCCAACTGTCGGCCCCTTCTAAAAATGGACCGATAGATGGCGCTCTTATAGCTTGCCTCTTTCTCGATCGTGAAGACCGGGGGCAGCGGATCATCAATTTTAATTTTAAATTTAGAATTCATGACTACACGGGTAAAATTTTTTTGGATTTTTTTTTTGATAGATACTAACTACACTAAAGAGAAAAGAATAGACTCAGAAAAATAAACAACAGTGAACCTGAAAAACCTACGAACTCAATAGCTCAACTATGTGCAGCAAGCTACCTACTATCAAACTGGGTTTAATAAATAGTTGACTTACCTGGAGTTTCTTGAGGGTATGGTTTCCTTGGCAGCTGATGATATGAAGTCACGTTCCACGAGGTGTTGGTGATTAGATGTGACCATTTTCCTGAGCCTTCCTCTTCTTTGGCCTTCCTTGTGGTCGTGTCAACCGATAGGTCAACTCACCGTCTGGTGGGTGTTTGGCCTTACGGATTAATGATTTAACGGGCCGCGACCGTCTTTTACAACCCCAGCAGAGGGCAACTGCTGTTGCGCTGCCTCTCTGTCGTAAACTCGGGCGAATGGCTCGCCAAGTGGCGACCCAATTTTAATACGGGCAGAGGGTACCTGAATTTACAGCGCCTCTCTGTCGCAAATACCGACAGAAATCTTGTCGACTAGATGCGGCTGGCCGGGGACACTACCGTAGGATAAAGAAAATTTAGAAATTAAAGGTATATCTAACTAAACCTAAGAAATATGAACACCTACAACCCATCCCATGACCGGTTGGGATCTAGCGAAACGAGGCCCCATTTAGAAACCGCCATAGACCGGCATTCCGGACTGCCGGCTATAATAACGGCCTCATCCCCCCCGCTCTCTACGTGGCTGGAGGAGCTACCGTTGAGGACAGCTACTGTCTCGACAATGGTCGAGAGCCGCGAAGACTAACTGAAGACCTCGCAACCTAGTCATCTTCCAACCGGGCTGGGTTACCTAGAGTTGCGATGTGGAATAGACGGAACCACTCTGAGCTACCAGTTTTATTTGGCGGCGTGGCCGGTTCTGGATCGTCTAATTCCGACATACTCCTTAGGTCTTTATTAGATATACCAAAATGCAAAATACAATAATAAACATAAAAACCCCAAAACCACGGAGTGCCCCTCGGCCCCATCCTGTCGGAGGGCCTAGATATGCGATCCGAGGGTCCCCTCACTCTAACCTCTCGGTCACATCGACTGGCCAACCGATCGGGCATTCGCCTCGATCGGGCCGTTGACCTAGTTTCAAGATCGAGTAAAGGGGCGGAGTCTGAACCCTTAACTGTTTCATCAATAATTTTGGAATAAACCACAAAAAATGACTTTGCCTGGGCGCAGCTCGCCAAGTACAAAAACCGTCAAAATCGCAAAAATTTTTGAATAAAATAGAAAACTATGCTCCACACATCATTATGAAACACCACAATATTCAAAAAATGCACGATCAATAAACTTATACCACTTCAAATATCAGCTTACTACAATATAAAAAAATTGTCATAACCAACTTACACTTAGTGCTTTCTCCACCGCATCTTCATAAAGGCCTTCTAGACAGTACAGAAATACTGCACATTCATCGAGTTCTGCAAAATTACACTTGTCACAACATATTTTTAGACCTTTTGTTAGACCAAGTATAACATCAGAAATCCAAAATTATAATAAAATATTGGTAAATCGTGATAAATACTAGCTCAGTCTAGTCTATCAGTCACATTGGTACTAATTTCAAGTCAAAAAGAAAGATTACTCAAACTTTCTGAACAAAACTTTAAAAAGTCATCTTTTCTGACGGAAAATTTTAAAAAAACTTGTCTAAAACCACAAAACAATAAAAAAAGTTGCCCTCACTTTTCTCCAGACACAATCTCAACGCTCGTTCCACATCGTACTTGACGAATTCGCGGGATTTCCCAAACTTTTTCAAGTTTTCCAGCAGTTGTTTTGGTTTATACTCGGCCAAGAGCTTGATCAGGAAATCCAAGGTCGTTCGGTCTGCTTTTCCCTCGTTCACCACAAAATTAAGATACGCAAATGCTGTGGCAACCTAAATTCAACAAATAAATACCAAAAATTCAAGCTTTTCTTGCCTTTTCCGGGGACTGTGAGCAATTGAAAAATGCGGTGATCACTTGATTCGGGCGAATATTCTCCTTTTGTTCGATTAGTGTCTTCAAAAACAATTTTGGGAGATTGTCGAAGAAGTCCTGTGCGTATTTGTAGAGGAGTTGAGGGGTTGGTTGGGAGGCCGCAACCTCCAAAGCGGCTTCAAATTCGCCTTGAAGAAGGTGGACTTTGACGACAACTTCATGGTCTAAAAAACTCCAAAAATTAATCAAAATCTATACAAAATCCAACTTTATGTATTGTAAAAATAACCTCAGATCTCTATAGAGACCATAAATCATCTTTTTAAACCCCTTTACATCGAGTAATATCAAAAAAATTTCAAAAACTAAAAATTTTGATATTACCCTAGCTAAATTGATGTAAAATCGGCAAAACAGGTGTGCCAAAGTAAGAAACAATATCTCCATCTAAATTACCAAGTATTCAACCTCATATACCATCAATTTACACTACCCTAAACTCTCCCAAAACCTTTCAAATTTCCATTTTTTACCTTACACTACCTCAATAAAGTATAACATCAAAAAATGCCCACAGAATCACAAAAATCGGCAAACCAACAATCCTCATCGTCAAAATAAAGCCTCAGCATCTCCAGCTTCCCATAAACATCCACAAATATCATCTCCATCCCTTACCTTTCAACTTATTGGCCAAAAACAAGTAGGTGTCAAAGTCGACATGAGTCGAAATTAGTCGATAAACCGCTGCTCTGTTGTCCAACACGCATTCATAAACCACGGTTCTATTCAAAAAGCAGAACAATTCTTCTCGCAACTTCTTGGCAAGTTGTTCTTTGTGGCCAATTGGGGAAGTTGGACCTTCTTGATCTTGTTTCGACGCTGATCTCCGGAGTTCAGCAAGTTCGCTGAGCTGAACTTCCAGGAGCCAGATCACCAGGATGTCACGCTTGACCTTGTCCTGAAATGATTTTATGTATTCAAGCAATTTTCTTTACTTTTCGATACTTTTTTTAGATTTTGCTTTCAAAATCCTTGAGATTTTGGAAAACTGCCGAAAAAGCAAAAATCCCCTGTGGGGATGAGGGCAAAATCCATCTACATTTATTTTTTATGATGTCTTTTTAATTTTTATACAATACTTTATTCAAATAAAACTCATTTTCCAGAAGAACATTCCTCTTTTCCACCATCTACTTCAATATTATACATGCCAATTTATATGTCATTTCCTCAGAGCTTTGTGATCATTGCCTTATATCCTCCTTAAAATCACTCCTTTATGCTTCATTATTTCCGTTTTCATCAATTTCATGCTTCTGCAACATTACTTTCCATCTTTTTTTACCAATTATATTCACCATGCCATTTTATCTGCCATTTCTCAGATTCTTCTCGAAATCTCCAAAACTATCAACAATTCTATCTAACAAGCCACATATTATTGGATAGATCGAGGAAACACAACCGTAATCACCCATTTTCCACTTGGGATCAAGCGCAACCCAGATAAAATTACACATAATGCCAGGCCCGCCCTTACGTCGATTTTGCAGCAAATTTATTTATTCCCCTCATTCTGATTTCGATCAACTCTACTGGAAAGTTGCCATGGACTCTCCCAGCTGTTCTACCTGTCTTTTGGAAGCTGCCAACACCACTGATATTATCTATGAGGACTTGGAGCTTCTCCACGAAGAGACCGGCTCCGACGATGAGGAAATTGATGTAGTTGGTGGGATTGAAGGGCCCGCGGTGGAGCCCATTCACCTCGAGCTTGAAGCAGAGAGTGATTTCGAGGACGAGGAAGAGTTCAACAACGTCCCACATCAAGAAGCAGATGATTTCGAAGAGCTTGAAGAAAACGCTGACGACTTTTTCGAAGAAGAACCGACTTTCCAACCTAATCAAGCTTCAGAATCCTTCGAATACAACGCGGACTCGGATTCGGACATCGAATTCCGCCTTTCCGAGGGTGATTCGTCCGAAGATGAAGGCCACATCAACTGGGAGAGGATTCGAGACCTCAAGGAGAAGGCAAAAATGGCACCGCGAAGAAAAATCAAGTCCAGTATTTCGAGGCCAAAGAAGACTGCGCTTCGTCGCCTCCGTTTCCGACGTCTTCAGGCGGCTATGGAGCAATTGAAGCGAGTCATGACGCTTCGCGCCGTGATCAGCAGATCTCCAAAGAAGTCTACGTTTTATTGAAGACATTATCTTTATAGGTACATACTCGGTTTTCGCGTTACTTTTTATCTTTCAACAAAATTTTTGTGTATTTCTTATTGTAAATATTATAAATTAATAGTTATTTGATACTAATAATGTAATTTGCAACGTTTTCTCACAAATAAACACAATTTTACAGTCATTAGGCTTCAAAGGAGAAGAAATGTCGGGCGCAGTTCGCCATTTGGTTCACGCGATAATTTCATCGTATAAAATGTCACCTAATCAAAATTTTCGAGGAGAATCTCATCGGATAGATTAAGAAGACTCCCAAAACTTTCCACGGTTATGCATTCATTGAAAATGCGACAATTCGCGATCAAATTTATATTGTAGTAGACACTTCTACCAACTTTTCAAATTTTCTCCCAGTAAAATGTCTTCAATATCCGTAAAACCAAAAACCTTACTCTTTTATCCAGTGCGTCCAATTTGAGTTCCAAATATCTCTTCAATCCATTTCGACTGTCACGGGAATTTGGGTTTTTGAGGAACTTGAGTACTGTGTTTTCAAACGGTTCTGTGCTTTGAGCGAGAAGTTCAGCAGCCGCAACGAAGCTATAAATATATGTATTTTTCTCCGAGCTGCTGTAAAATACCACACTTCTCATTATTACAAATCTATTTCCAAAACTACGATGATTTTTTCGAAAAATTCTCCAAAAAATCTCAATTTTTCAAAAATTTATATGAAAATCGCTAAAAATTGCATGGTAAACCACCTACTTATTGTCATTCAGGAATTTCTCGGCTTCTTTTTTTAAAACAATCTGATATGGGCGTTTATCCGCCATTTGTTTCGCGATTTTTCGGGCCTTGGAGAATTCATTTCTTTCGATCAAAACCTTCCAAACATCCCGTGTTTCCCTATCTGGCCTATAGTAGAACAATCCATTCTCACTGAAGATCCAAATAAATTCAGACGTGGCATCACGGCACATTCCTAGGACATTGGAGGCGTCCTGAAAAATCGACTTATTTTTGATGGTAAGATAATACAATTTTCTTAATTTTTTGATATTTAGACTGAACTCAAAGCTTCAAAACTTCTAGTAAAACTAAAATACGGCCTAAAGCAAATTTCTAAATTAATTTTCAGCAAAAATATCACCATCTTCCCCCTCAACTTACCATAAAAACATCCTCAAATGCCACTTTTTGATCCAAAATTGATATGGCCACAAATTTTTCCTGATAAATCATGAAGATATGATACTCCGACAACGCAACGCTCAACGGGTAATTGTACTTTCCTTCGCTGAGATCGTGTTTTCGAAACCAATCCTCATTTATAATATCGAATCCATCCGTTCTGGTGGTCTCAAAATGTCCCAGGCTAACTCCTTCCGAAGCCAGCCAGCAATAGCGCTCTGGAAGTGTGATTTCTTCTATACATGTAGGGAATATCACTACGTCGCTGGGCTTCTCGTCCTTCTGATCTCCAAGGGAATGATATCGAGGGTTTGCTGAAGGGTAAGATAAGGTGATTTTGATTCTTTTAGTGTAATTTCTGGGTCTTTAAGGCTTTTAAAATCCCTCTGTTATATCTATGCAACCTTTTTTGAGTGTCCATTACATCTTACAACACTTCCCAGCTCATTCTCTAACATCATCTAGGGCGCAGCCTGCCGAACGAAAACCACAATTTAAAGGATCGCTAGCCCCTCCAAAAGTTTATTCATTCAAAATTCATTATTTTATAGCTCTCCCTAAGGCACAAGCTCCATTCCCACCAATTTTGTCCCCATTCTGATCTACAACCTCGGACGCAGACTGCCAAACCTAAACCAACAAAACTCAAAGGCAAAATCTTACATTTCGCTGAGAAAAAGTTCTGAAGAACCGCAGCCTGCTGTTCCACCAACGACGAAGTCCAAACGGTCCCTACAACCGGCTGGGAGACCACTTTCTCCATGGCCTCAACATTCAATGTGCCCGGAATGCAATACAATCGTCCTGGGGTGCAAACAATCAAAAGCCAGCTGAAATTGACGACTCATAATCAATTATAAGCCCAATTAGATACCTGAGGTCATTGTCAAGAGAATACGGGACAATATTTATACTGCTGATTGGGGCGTTTTCGACCAAATTGCTCGACAACCTTTTAGCATAACTTGCTGAGCCAGATGAAGCAATATTCGTCTCCATTAGGGTTCCTAAAGACATAAAATACCAAGTAGATGTTTTACCTTACCTTTATTAGTTCCAAGGACAATAAACGAAGTCTCTTGATCCGTAGCTCTTTCGGCGTTGAAACCGACGGCAGAAATTGTATGACCCTAGAATTGGAAGTCAAAAAAGAATAAAAGTCGTACCTTAAGACGCCATAGAGGCTTCAATGCAACTGTCTTCATGTTCATGTAGTAGTTCTCTCCCAATTCGGTGCTGATAATCGCATGAGAGCCGCGATAATCAAGGTGAATGTACGCGATCTTGTCATTTGAAGCGAGATTCAGTGGGATATCTGGAGGAAGATGAATTAAAAGACTCAGGGAATCTAAAAGGCACTAAATAAACACGTCTATACTACAATTGAAGATCAACTACTTTACAAAAAAATCCCACCTATCAAGAACAACATCACCTTAAAATGTAATTCAAAGTCCACAAAAAAGACATCAAAACATCGCTGAGGTCCCTTAGTCTCTATTCCAACTCATCGCAAGATCACTCTCATCAACCTAAACTTATTGCGCAAATTTTCCTATCTGACGTCATAGGTAATATAATAAAACCCCAAATATGAACTTACCCGTAAATTTTCCAGTCTGAATTCGAATATGTTGCAATGATTGACTTTGTAATCCAATCAGCACTACTCCATTCTGAATTTTACAGTGCGAAATGGGCTTTTTTGAACTAAAAAGGAAAAATTTCAAAAAAAATCACAAACTCACTTGAACTTGATGTTGTGCTTTACAAAAAGAGGTTCCACTTGATGCTTCCCGGCCATATCTGATCACAAGAATACGGCAACCATCCAAACCTCCGCAAAATAAACTATTTTCGACCAAAATAAATAAAAAAGCAAGACTTGACGCAAAGAGCAACATTTGACACAAAAGTCAGACTTGACCCACGAATTTTGGGCCAACTTTGCTTCTTATATTTTATTGTTTTTGAAGAAGTCAAGAAAAAAAAGATAAGTCCTGTTTACCTTGAGCAGTCCGACTAATCAAACACCATTTTTTCTTGATGATTAGAATTGTTGACAAATAGGTTTTCCCGAAAATCATCCCTTTCAACCTCTTCACTTCGAACTTTCCCAATCTGCGAGACGCACGTTTTCTCACAGAACGATGGCCACTCATGAAGGACAGACTTATCTGATTGAGCTGAATGCCGGCGAAAAGTTGGACAGCAAAGTTACGTTTTTCAAAAAAGGTAAGAGCTCTTTTTTTGGTTTTCTTGATTTAGGTGGCATGGTGAGGGTAAATGTGATTGGAATAAATGAAATGTATTTTGAAATACTCTTTGAGGGTCTGGCTACGAGTTTTGTTCGAAATCAAGGCCGTTCCTTTTTTCCAGACATGTTTTGAGACTTTTTTTGATCTAGTGCCATGTGCAAGATAATTTTTTGATTTTCTTGGAGATCTTGCTCTCATATGCGAAATCTTCAACTAATTTACTTTCTAAATTCTCTAATGTAACTCTGAAAACTGTTTTCAGGATGGACTGCTCGTTTCCGCGCTGGCAAGAAGCTTCTCGGCCGAAAATTGACCTTGAAGATCCCAAAGCTCGAAAAAGTCTTCCAATTTCCGGAACTCAAGTCTATATCCGACTTCGACTTTCAAGTAGAGCTTGTCTGCGAGACTCTGGGCTGTTTTAAATACGAATTCACTGTTGATGGAGATCCAGATTCCAACGGACATGGCTATTTTACTGTCCAGCCAGAATGGGAAGTCAATGGGCAGAAGTTGTCGCTGAACTCTCTGGCTGTCCAGACATATTTGACCAAGCTGTTGGGGCCTCTAAGCGAGTGGAAAGATCGGTTGCAAGTGGCGAAGGAGAGTGGATATAATGTTATCCATCTGACTCCTGTTCAGGTTCTTGGAGTCTCAAACAGCAGGTTAGTTAGTCTTTTATTATTGGTGCTTCTGCTTTTAGGACATCAGAAATTCTATGTGGAATGAAAGGAAGGCAGTTTCAGTCAAGTTTTTGGCATATTTATGTCAAAAATTGAGAAATTTTGACAAAAAGAGCTGGATTTTATATTACACTTGACAAAATTTTTAATTTATGCCCGATTCCTTTTATTTTTTCCTTCTTCAGCTACTCCATTGCCGATTTCCAAGCGCTGAATCCAACTCTCGGCGATGTGACGATCGAAGATCTCGCTGAATTTGTCGAGTTTCTCGAAAAAGAATGGTCAATTTTAACGATCCAAGATGTCGTCTGGAATCACGCTGCTCGCAACGCTCCATGGCTTCAAGAGCATCCTGAATGTGCCTACAATTGCGCCAACTCTCCTCATCTCCGTCCCGCGTTCATTATCGACCAGGCGTTGAGATTGTTCAGTGAGGAAATCGCCGAAAATAAATGGGAAGATCGAGGAATTCCGGCTGAATTTAATTCTGGAGAGCATCTACAGGTGAGGAAATTTGATTTTACTACTGATTAGTGTGGAATGAGGAGGGATTTTATATTGTTTTAGATAAAAATTTACATTTTTGACCTTATGATCTATTTAATGTTTTAAGATAATGTTTTTTAGGCCCTCCGCAACGCTCTTTTGACCCAAGTTCTCCCAGAAGTCCGTCTGGAAGAATTCTTCCAGGTCGATGTCACCAAAATTATCGACGAATTTCAACAGCACGTCAAAAATAACACAAATTCAGCCGTCTGCGATTGCCCATTGGCCCTGATTCAAGACCCGGAATTCAAAAGATTTGGATCAACCATTGATTTTCAGTTGGCCAGCAATATTTTCAATAATGACATGTAAGTTTAACCGATTTTTTTTTTTGAGTTTTTTCGAATTTTAGACCGAATTTGAGCGAAGAACAGAGGTTGGCCAAAAATGTGGATGATTTGAGAAACGCCCTGGAGGCATTGAACGAAAACAAGAGGAAAGAAGTCCAAGGGCATATCGAAGCGATTGTCAATGCGACTTTAGGACATGTGGCGTATGAAAGAGTTGATGGCCATGGCTTGAGGGTACCTAGAGTAACAAAAGAAAGGCCGTTGACCACAAAGTATGGAAGTTTTTGGTGTTCTGCTTTGTTTGAAATTGAGCTAGATGATATTGAAGAGATGTGGAAAAAGTTTTGGACGAAAGAAGCTTTTAGGAAAATTTTTATGAGCAAAAGTTTATGAATAACATTACTTTAGGTGTCCTTTTGTCGAAAAAATTGATTTTTGGAGGGAAATCAAAGTTTTATCGAATTAATTTTGATTGAAAAATACTCTTTATGGTCTAATCTAAGTTTGGCTTGTATTGTTTGGTTAGTTTTTAGGATTGAATTATAAAATTTTGCGAAAAACATTGTTTTAGGTGCCTTTTTGTTGAAAAAACAAATTTTTTGGAAAAAATCTTGAATTTTGCGATCTACTTTTGATTGCTCCTTATTTCTTATGCTCTAAATTTTTTTTATTTCAAAATTTTCAGCTACTTTGTCTACCCGTTCGACGTGCCGGACATAAAATCCGCGGAAACGCAGGCCTATGACCGCCTCAACGGAGAATTCATCATGGCCTGTAATGGATGGGTAATGAACGCCGATCCCCTCAAGAATTTCGCAGAACCCCATTCACAGGTCTACCTGCGCAGAGAGCTGGTCGCCTGGGGCGATTCGATCAAACTGAATTATGGATACAAACCCTCGGACTGCCCATATCTCTGGGATTACATGCTCCAGTATACGGAAAGTTGTGTCAAAATTTTCCATGGAGTGAGAATCGACAATTGTCATAGCACACCGATACATGTGGCGGAGGTAAGCGGGGATATTTTTGGCGGATTTTTAATTTTTTGATTTTTTTGGTGATTTTTGAGAGAAAATTAAATTTTTTGAAAAAATGATAGGGTTTTTTGATGTTTATAGAGGAATATAGGGTAGTAGATGATGTGGGGTTACTTTGTTTTTTATAAATGAGAAATTGTAACCAACGGTTTTTGAGATTTTTTAAATTTTGACTGAAATTTTGGGGTTCTTGATGAAAAATTTTTATTTTTAGGGAAATTAGTGTAGATTTTAATGTTGGAAAAGGGTTTATAGAGTGTCAATAAGAACCTTGTTTTAGTATCTACTGTAAAACCCCCGAGGAAAGCAAAAAATTTGAAGGAATTTTGAGATTTTTTGAATTTTCATCAAAATTTTTATGTTTTGGTTTAAAAAATTGATTTTTTTGGAAATTTAATAAATATTTTGATGTTTTGCTTTGATGATGAAGATGTAGCGGACATGTTTTTTGTAGTACCTCCTCGAAAAAGCCCGAATCATCCGCCCCGGACTCTACGTTATGGCCGAACTCTTCACCGGCTCCGAAGATTTGGACAATCTCTTTGTAAATCGTCTCGGAATCACTTCGTTGATTAGAGGTACCCGTTATAAAGAATTGATTATAATGACGAGGGAACTGGGACGATTGGGGAAACCGAAAAGTATTATTTTTCTTCGATGCAAGTGTCGAAATTAATTGAGGGTGCTGATTTCGAAAATGACATTCGTTTTTGATCTTTACTTTTTTCCTTAAGTAGTACTGTAAAGTAGTAATTTTTTGAATTTTTTTCATAAATACTCGATTTGAGGGGTTTCGATGGTGCTGATTTCGAAAATCTTATTCATTTTTTTGATCTGAAAGCAGCACCATCGAAAACCCCAAATCGAGTATTCAGGAAAAAAATCAAAAAATTACTACTTTACAGTACTACTCAAGGAAAAAAGTAAAGATCAAAAAGAAAATGAATGTTATTTTCGAAATCAGCACCCTCGATTATCCTAATTTCGACACTTGCATCGAAGAAAAATAATACTTTTCTGTTTCCCCAATCGTCTTTTTCCCTAATCGTCCCAGTTCCCTTATTATACAGTGAATGATCTGATCCAGTGGCAAAAAGCATACCATTTTGCATCCGGGAAGTATCAAAAATGTGGCAAAATCCTTCCCTCTCCAAGTGAAAAAAACTCCGATTTCAAAAGCGTGCCCTTCAAAACGAAGTTTTTTCACGTGGAGAGGGAAGCTTTTTGCCACATTTTTGATGCTTCCTGGGTGCAAAACGGAACGTTTTTTACTACTGCATCAGGTCTGTAATTTAACCACTGTAATTTATATGAGCTTATGTAACCGTTTTTGCTCGATTCAGAAGCTCAAAACGCCCCCGACAGCCATGAACAAGGCCGATTTGTCCATCGTTTTGGCGGCGATCCAGTAGGCGCATTCCGAACCAAAACCGTGAAACCGGCCCCGTTCTCGGTTGCACATGCCCTGTTCTACGACCAAACTCATGACAATCCGGCAGCAGCGGAGAAGCGAACCATTTATGACTACCTTCCGACGGCCGCTATGATCAGCATGGCTTACTGTGCGGCGGCTTCTACTCGAGGATACGATGAGTTCATCCCATTTCATGTGAGTTTGGAGGGAAGATGGGAGATTGTAGAGCATTTTGAAGGAATTGAGGAAGGCTTGATGGGTTAGACGAGGTTTAGAGAGCTTCTGAATATTGTTGAGGTAATAGTTGATGGTTGAGGTAAAAAAAGAATGAGTTTATCAAATTTATTGTGGGATTTTTTGGTGTTAGAAGATGTCTAATGGTAGCATAAAGAATTTCAGAATGGTCAGAGAGCTGAGAAGAGATTTATGGGATCTCCGAATATTGTAGTAGGGAGATGTGATGGTCAAGCTAAAATGAGGTTGATTGATGATAATTTCTTAATTTTTTGATTGGTTTGGGCAATGTATATTGAAACTGAAAGCATGATATTTCATTTAAACTTTGGAAAAGTTACTTTTTTCTTTTGATTTTTCGCAAAATTCTATTTTCAAAACTTGTCCCATCAGATTTGGTAGAGCGATATATTTTTCACTGATTGGCTAGGAAATTAGTAGAATCTTGGTGGTTTTTTGTTTTTAGCTGATAGTATAAGACTTATATTACCTATTAGTTTGCATTATATCAATATTTTCATTCGAGTAGATAATTAATTTTTGTATTTTAGATCCATGTGGTCACCGAGAAACGCCCCTACAGAAAATGGTCCGAAATTCAGGCCAATCCAAGTCTAAAGGGATTAATTGAAGCCCGCAAGAAGCTAAACGAACTCCACGTTGAGCTCTGTGCCTTGGGCTACTCGGAAGTTTTTGTGGACCAGTATAATGTTGATGTAGTAGCCATCACAAGACACAACCCAGTGACCCGAGAATCGGTCCTCCTCATCGCCCATTGTTGTTTTGGACCCTTCAAATGGATCCCTGATGGCGCTGATCACAAAGGAATCCCGGTGGCTGGTAGGTTTTATGAAATTTTTGAGATTTTTGTCATGTGTAAGGTAATTTTTGGAAATTTTTTTGATTTTCTTGATTTTTAGATGATATCACCGAAATTTTGTTTGAATTGAAGACTGTGGAGGATGGAGGGAAGACGAAAGAAGCTCCGGATGCAGAGAAAGTTCTCAGTGGAGTTCAGAATATCAAGGTGGAGGTGTATGAACACGTCCCGATTGATAAAAGTCTGGCCGTACAGGTTGAAAATGGGGTGATTAAATTCCGAAACTTTCCCTCTGGAAGTGTAGTGGCATTTAAGTGAGTTTTGAAAGGGATTTGAGGTCTTTTTATATCTTTTTGGGGATTTTTTGACTAAAATATGTTGTTTTAGCCTATAAAAATGATATTTTTAGGATTGTCCCCAAGCCGAAGACTCTGGAAAACTGCAAAGACATCGATAATCTTGCTACAAGCCACGAACTTGTCGATGAACTTCAAAACGCCCTCCTCGAACTTGATCTTCAGCAACTAAATTACATTTTGTTCTTTTGCGAACCAGAGGAGGGAACTCAGTTTGGAACGGGCGCCTATGACATCCCAGCCTACGGAAAACTGGTTTACTGTGGACTGAAAGGCGTGGAAGCACTATTGAGAAAAGTACAGGCCCACAACGACCTTGGCCACCCGCTCTGTGGCAACCTGAGAGCCGGAACATGGCTCCCAAATTACTATGTTAATCGATTGAAGAGAACTGAGAAGCTCAAAAAAGTCGCTGAAATTTTTGAAAGAGCCTTCAAACCCTTGGATGAAATACCCCACTTCTTGAGACCATGCTATTTTGAAGAGATTTTCACGGTTCTTTATCAAGCTGTGGAAACGACTGTCTTGAACAAGATTGGGTGAGAAAACGGGATTTTTTGGGGAATTTAGGAGATTTGGGGATAAAAGAGAAGCTTTGGGGTCCTGGGGAGCTGTTATGGAAGGCTGGAAATTTTTTTTTGACTTCTAAAATACGAATTTTTTGTAAAAAATTTTTTTTGGAATTTTTTGAAAAAAATTTGGTTTTTTGAGGAAAGGAAGTTCTTTTAGGGCTTGTAAAAAATTTTGGAGAGTATTTAGGTCCTTTTTAGACAGAAAATTATGATTTTTTCGAAAAATTGAAAAAAAAATTTTTTTGGAATTTTTTGAAAAAAAATTTTTTTTTGAGGAAATGAAGTTCTTTTAGGGCTTGTCAGAAGGGTTACAGAGTATTTAGACCCTTTTTAGGCAAAAAAGATTACGATTTTTTAGAAAAATTATAGAAATTGTTTTTAATTTTGCACAGTGCAAATTTTTGGAATTTTTTTTTTTTTTTTATTTTCCCCATTTCAGATACAAATCCAAACTCCCAATCAACTCCACAATCGTCGAACAGCTCTCTCTGGCCTCGATTTCATTGATTGCCGCCATCAAAGACGCGAAACTTCCGCCTCTGGCGGACGGCGAATCTTCCACATCAGACCCACCCTCCCTCTCAGCCGGATTACCCCATTTCTCGACCGGAATCTGGAGAAATTGGGGCCGCGACACCTTCATCGCCCTCCCCGGACTTCTCCTCAGCTTGGGAAGATTCGTCGAGGCAAGACAGCTGATCCTCGCGTACGCCGGCACACTCCGTCACGGACTGATTCCGAACCTTCTGGCTGAAGGAAAAGCGGCCAGATATAATTGCCGGGACGCGGTATGGTTCTGGCTGGCCGCCATTGTCAAGTATGTGCTGAACTCGGACGAAGGAGCGCATTTCTTCGAGGCGAAAGTGCTCAGGTTGTACCCCGAGGATGATAGTGAATACTCAACGGATAAGGTGGGATTTTTGGAGGGGTTTTTGGGGGGATTTTAGAGGTGGAAGAGACTTGTAAGGGCTTACAAATCCAGTCTAATGGGATTTGTAAGAGTTTGGAGTTATTTTGAAAATTTTTTGACCGATTTTTTTGGGGAATTTTGATGTTTTTTCAGATTTTTTTGGATTTTTTTTTTCAATTTTTTGGATCTTTTTTATTTTTTTGGGGATTTTTGGGTTTCTAAATGTTATAAATGGAGTCTAATGAAATTCTAGAGTGTTTGAAGACATTTTGAGATTTGGCCGACTATTTTTTTTGGAGGCATTTTGAAGTTTTTTTGAGGATTTTTTGAAATTTTTTTCATTTTTTATTTGTTTTTTTTTCCGAATTTTTTCTTCTAAATTAATTTCTAGACCCATAAAGACCTCATTATTTAGCCTTTACAGCGTTTTGGATCTGAAAAAATAGAATTTCAGAAAAAAATTTTTAGCTGATCCCTAGTACAATATAATTTTGCCCGTTTCTCCCAAATTTCCTCAAATTACCCTTTCAATTTCAGATCGAGACCCTCTATGACACCATCACCACCGCTCTGAACCGCCACTTTGACGGCATTTCGTTCAGAGAACGGAACGCCGGCCATCAAATTGACGAACACATGAAAGACGAAGGCTTCAATATCGAAGCCAGAATTGACCGAGAAACTGGCTTTGTAACCGGCGGAAATCAGTTCAATTGCGGCACATGGATGGACAAAATGGGATCCTCGGACAGAGCTAATAATAGAGGACTTCCAGCGACCCCCAGAGACGGCGCGGCCGTCGAATTACAGGGACTGGCCTTGTATGTAGCGGAAAATTTGGCAAAACTCAATGAAGAAGGGAAATTTGGAAGTAATGGTGAGGATTTTTGAGGGTTTTGGGAAGAGTAGAGTATTGGGAAGAAGTGAAGAGAGTTTTGGAGGGTTGCGAGGAGATTAGGAGGGGATTTTATATTGATTTAGGTCATCAGGTGATGAAATTTTGGAAAATTGAATTTTTTTTTTGTTTTTTGGTAATTTTGGTGGATTGGCGTGTAGGGAATAAAAGATCATGAGTTTGAGAAGATTTTTGGGTCCTGTTGACTGGGTAAAATATTGATTTAGACCGGTTTCGGAGCTGAAATTTGGAAAAAAATGGATTTGATGAAATTTTTTTTTGGTTTGATGGTTGAATAAGGTGGATAATGAGAGAATGTGGCCTTAAAAATTATTTTTATGCTATGGGGAGTGAATTGGATATTGTTTTAGACCGGGGTTTGACCAAAAAGTTAGAAATTTTTTCAAATTTAAGACATTTTTTACCTAAATTTTGATGAAAAAGACGATAAATTGGAAATTGTCTGGTGGAAAAGTCTTGAAAATGATGGTAAAATACGGGAAAGGCCTAAACATGTTTTTGTTTTCGAAAAAAATACTATTTTTTTATCAATTTTTTAGGCCTGAAATCCTCATCCGGCGAAGAATTGAGGTTCCGCGAATGGGCCCAAAAACTCCGCCAAAACTTTGTGGACAAGTTTTACATCCCGGAAGACTCGAATGAGGAATTTGTGAATCGAAAAACCATCATAAAAGACAGTTTCGGATCGACCGCCCGGTACACCGACTTCCAATTGAGACCCAATTTTTGTGTCGCCCTGAAGCTGGTCCCAGACATCATTGATCCCAAATTGGCCTGGAAAGCACTGGAACAGGCCTCGGCGCATTTGCGCGGACCCTTGGGCATCAAAACACTCGACGAAAGCGACTGGAATTATAACGGAAATTATGACAACGACAACGATGGATACGAACAGAAGATCGCCAAAGGATGGAATTATCATCAGGGACCGGTAAGCGCGGGGAAAGTTTGGGGAGAGGGCTTGGGTTAGGGGTAGGGAAGATTTTACGGGGTTTTTTGGGGAATTTTGGATTTTTTGTTAAATTTTGGTACAATTGAGGTCTAAAATTTGTGAAATTTTGATGTAAAATTGGTTATTGAGAGCTGGGAAATAGAAGGATTGGCTTTTTGAGGGGGTGGAATAAAAAGTATGGCAAGGGGGGACCAATTTTTTATATTGTACTACACTGATTTTTAATGGGTCGAGACGAGTCGAATAGCTGTCTGAAGAAGTCAAAAGGCATTTTTAACCCTATACCAATTTTTTTCTGGAAAATTATGACAAAAGGAGAATAAATTTTGGTGAAATTTAAAAAAATTTTTTTTATAATTTTTTGATGGCATTGAGGTCTAAAATTTTTTGAATTTTGATATCAAATTGATTTTTGAGGGCTGTGGATTAGAAGGATTGGCTTTTTGAAGGAATTGAGCATGCGGTATGGCAAGGGGGGACCAATTTTTTATATTGTACTAGAACGATTTTTATTCTGTCGGGACGAGTCCAATAGCTGAATGAAGCCGTCAAAAGGCATTTCTAGCCATATCATAATATTTTGTAGGAAATTATGGCAAGGGGAGACCAAAAAATTTAACTTTTTTAGAGGAATTTTTAAGTTTAGAAATTGGTCCCCCCTTGCCATAGTTTTGGGATTTTTTTATTCTTTGCTTTAGTAGATACTCCTAGTGGCCTCAGCAAAACTACTGAGAAAAATCAGCCACCTACCCGTATTTGCAAAAAAGTTACGCGCATTTTTCCAGGAATGGCTCTGGCTGGCCGCCGAATATTACAGCGCCCGGTTGGCGGTCGCAAAACTCCTCAAAACCGAGCAACCCGAAGCCTGGGAGAAGGCAGTAAAAGAAGTGAAAGAACAAGTCCAAATCTACTCCGATTTCATCGCCAATAAATCGGCCTGGTCCTCTTTGCCGGAACTCACCAACAGAAACGGCGCCCACTGCCCGCACTCCTCGGAAAACCAGGCGTGGAGCGTCGGCTGCTTCATTGAGACCCTGGAAATCTTGAATAACTCGTTGTAATAGGGCTGATTGTGATTTTTAGCAACTTTTGGATTTTGAATTTTGAGATTTTTTAGCAGAATTTTTGATTTTTCGAGATTTTTTAGCAAAATTTTTGAATTTTTAATAATTTTTTTGGATTTTTGCATATTTTTAGAGATTATTTAGTCTAATTTGAACTGTTTTTTAATACTCTCATATTGTAGATGTCATATAGCTGTTTGCGGCTTTACTTTTACCCCGATAGCTGCCATTTGCTAATCTTTTTTGTGCCATTTTCCCCGATTTTTTTGGTCAACTCGATTTTAAACTGGTATATTTAACCTTACTGGTCTGATTAGGGTATTTTGTTTCCTTCTAGATTATTTATAAAGAATTTACAGCAAAATGGCTGAAAATTTAATCGAATGTTATTCGATTTTAGGACAGAATAAAGAGATTTTTAATGGAATTTTGAGATTTTTTCAATTTTTTTGAAAAAAAGTTGCAGAACTTTTTGAATATTTGGTGGTGTTGAAGGTGAAATGGTGGAATAAGGTTGGTGGGAGGCGTGCATTGCATTTATTTTGTTGTAGAATGTCAGCCGAAGAGCCGGTCTTCAAAAAACCACGTCTCCCCGGAGAACCTGAAGAGGAACAAGACGAAAATAGCATTGAAATCCAGGAGAAACCGAGTGTTAAAGGTTAGTGGAAGTGTTTTTTGGAGTTTTAGGATGTGAATAGCAGTTTTGTGAAAAAAAAATTTAATTTTTTTTTTTTGAAAATTGTCTGAAAAAGTTGTGAAATAAGCTTCTAAAGCATATCTGAAATTTTTAGCTCGCGTAAAGCAGAAATTATTGTGATTTTTAAATCGAAAAATTTTAAAAAAATCGAAAAAAATTAAAAAAAAAATTTTTTTGAAAATCGCTAAAAGTCAGTAATATAACCTTCTTTCAGAGCTAAAATACGAATCCACATATCTCCGCTCGATCCCATCCGCCTCCCAGTATGAGAAATCGTTCATGCACCGAGATATCATCACTCATGCAGTCGCCACAAAAACGGATTTTGTCATCACCGCCAGTCGAGATGGACATTTAAAATTCTGGAAGAAGAAACATGGAGAAGGAATCGAATTTGTCAAGCATTTTAAATGCCATTTGAGTGGGTTTTTGAGATTTTTTTTGGGATTTTTAAGGTAAATTTTTTTTTAAATTTTTTTTTTGAATTTTGATTTTTTTTTGGGACGATGGAAAATTTCGGATTGGAAAAGGAGAGAATTTGATTTTTTATGCGATTTTTTAGAATAAAAAATAAATTTTTTTGAGATTAAAAAGAATTTTTTTTGTAAAAATTTGCTAAATCAAGGTCAAAAAGAATGATTTTCCAAGGGTTTTTGTATGAAAAGATCGCTGATTTTTTTTGGCTACAACTAAAAACACAGTTGCTAAAATTTTTCAGAATTTATTTTTGGTTTTTTTTTATTTTTTTTACAAAATTTTTTAAAAATATTTATTTTGATTTTTTAAAATTTTTATTTTGTAATTTGGATGCTTTTTTTATCAAAAATTTTTTTTTGATTTTTTTTTTATTTTTTATTTTATTTTTGATTTATTTTCAGACCCCTTTTCCGAGCTCGCCGTCAACCACAATGGAACGCTTTTGGCCACCGTCTCCACCGAAGACAAGGCGATCAAAATCTTCGATGTCCCCAACTTTGACATGATCAATATCCTCAGCCTCGATTTCCGCCCCTCCACCGCCGCCTGGGTGCATCAAGGCGCGGATATCATCCATTCGTTGGCGGTGGGAGACGCGGATTCCCCAAATATCATCATTTTGGACGGAAAAGGAACGAATGAGCCCATCCATAAAATTGAAGACATGCATTTTGATCCGGTGAAGATTATCGAGTACATTCCACCGTTAAATATTGCGATTTCTGTGGATACAGGTGGGATTTTGAAGGATTTTTAGGGGGAAACTGGATGCACTGTGCGGAAATGAGGCTTGGCGAGCTTGCACTGTGCGTTTCGTCGCTGGTCTGACTGCACAGTGCAAAACAAAAGTTTACGGAACTGCACGGTGCGAGAAATTTGTTTTTGCGGGGGAGTTGCACTGTGCGGGTTGCCGCTGGGCTGACTGCACAGTGCAAAAAATAATTTTTTGGTCTACACTGTGCGGGTTGTCGCTGGGATGAATGCACAGTGCAAAACTAGAATTTATGGAACTGCACGGTGCGGGAAATTTAGATCTGTGGGAATTGCACTGTGCGGTTTGTCGCTGGGATGATTGCACAGTGCAAAAGCAAGTTTTTTTTGTCTTGCACGGTGCGGGATATTTAGATCTGTGGGAATTGCACTGTGCGAGTTGTCGCTGGGCTGACTGCACATTGCAAAAAATAAATTTTTGGTCTGCACTGTGCGGTTTGTCGCTGGGATGAATGCACAGTGCAAAACTAGAATTTATGGAACTGCACGGTGCGGGAAATTTAGATCTGTGGGAATTGCACTGTGCGGTTTGTCGCTGTGATGAATGCACAGTGCGAGAAAAATTTTTTTTTGCCTGCACGGTGCGAAAAATTTATTTCTATGGGAATCGCACTGTGCGGTTTGTCGCTGGCCGACTGCACAGTGCAAAAAATAAATTTTTGGTCTGCACTGTGCGGTTTGTCGCTGTGATGAATGCACAGTGCGAGAAAAATTTTTTTTTGCCTGCACGGTGCGAAAAATTTATTTCTATGGGAATCGCACTGTGCGGTTTGTCGCTGGCCGACTGCACAGTGCAAAAAATAAATTTTTGGTCTGCACTGTGCGGTTTGTCGCTGGGATGAATGCACAGTGCAAAACTAGAATTTATGGAACTGCACGGTGCGGGAAATTTATTTCTGTGGGAATTGCACTGTGCGAGTTGTCGCTGGGCTGACTGCACATTGCAAAAAATAAATTTTTGGTCTGCACTGTGCGAATTGTCGCTGTGCTGACTGCACCGTGCAAAAAACAAGTTTTTTGTCTGCACTGTGCGGTTTGTCGCTAGGCTGATTGCACAGTGCAAAAACAAGTTTTTTTGTCTTGCACGGTGCGGGAAATTTGTTTCTGTGGGAATTGCACTGTGCGGGTTGTCGCTGGCTGACTGCACAGTGCAAAAAAACAAATTTTTGGTCTGCACTGTGCGGTTTGTAGCTGGCTGACTGCACAGTGCAAAAAAAAGTTTTTTTTGTCTTGCACGGTGCTGGAAATTTATTTCTGTGGGAATTGCACTGTGCGGTTTGTCGCTGGTCAGACTGCACAGTGCAAAGATAAATTTTTGGTCTGCACTGTGCGAAAAGAAAATGTGTTTGACTGCACGGTGCAAAAATATAAAAGTTCAAAAAAATAAATAAATAAAAATAAAAAAAAATTGAAAAAAGAAATTTTATTTCTTTTCCAGCTGGAATGTTCGAGTTCTGGGGCGGCGCCAAACTCGGCTACGATTTCCCGGCCGACCGTCTGGAATGGCTCTACAAAACGGACACCGATCTCTACACCTACGCCAAACTAAAAGTAACCCCCCAAAACGTGGTCGCCTCGCCGTCGGGCGAACGCTTCGCCGTCTGGGGCTCGGATCGCATCATCCGAGTCTTCGACACATCAACTGGTCGGTTGTGGAAGGCCATCGATGAAACGCTGCAGAATTACATTGAACAGGCCAAAGACAATCGCTATCACGGCCTGCAGAACATGGAATGGAGTCGAAGAGTGGCGCAAGAGAGGGATCTGAACCGAGAGGAAGGCGTCTTTGACACTTTCAAAATGTGTTTTGACACCTCCGGCAACTTTTTGATCTTCCCCACACCAGTCGGAATTCATGTAAGTTTGGGCTGGAAATGGACGGAAAAGTGGAATAAAGAGGATAGAAAGTGAAAAAGGGCAGTTTAGAATATTTTGGGACATTTTGGGAGACCGAATTTTTGTCGGAAAAATTTTGAAATTTCGATTTTTTGAAAAAAATTTGAGTTGAAAATGGTGTTTTCGGGATGAAAATAGAAAATATAGATCATACATGGGCGATATGCGACGTATTTTACCTTGATAAAGTGTGAATTAATTGTTTTTTCTCTGATTTTTTCAAAAAATTTATGAAAATCGGTAAAATTTTGATTTTTTAACCGAAAACTGGTGAAAAAAAAACTTAGTATAGTTGAAATGCTGTAGCAAGGCTTGTTGTTTAATTTTGACCATTTTGTTGTCGATTTTATCAATTTTTTATAAAAAAATTTTGAAAAAATTTTGATTTTTTTTGACCGAAAACTGGTGAAAACAGGATTTTAATATAGTGGAAATGCTGTAGCAAGACTTGTTTTTTAATTTTTGAACATCTTTTTTGTCGATTTTATCAATTTTTTGTAAAAAAATTTTGAAAAAATTTCGATTTTTTATATTAAACTTGGTTCGAAACGAAGGCTTATGGGCTTAAGATACGATTTGGTTACCTGTTTTTCAAATAATTTGCCCGTATTTTAGGTCTACAACCTGGTCACAGACCAAGTTGTTCGAGAAATTGGGAAAGGAGAGAACGCCCGATTCATGTCCGTCGCACTGTGCAGAGCCTTTGTGGACACTCGAGAACTCCTTCAAGGCGCCGCAACGAGTCTGGAAGTCGAGACAGCCGACAATCCGAATTTAAAACGGGCCGAACCTGACCCCATGTTGGTAAGAGAGGATTTTTTAGATTTTTTGGGGGATTTTGAGAGTTTTTCCTGGATTTTTTGGTTTTAAAATACGAATTTATTGATAAATTTAAGATTTAATATGAAATTATATCGAAAAAATAAAAAAAAATTTAATAAAATAAATTTAATAAAATTTTAGATTTTTTTTTTTTTTTAATTCTTCAGAATAAAAAAAAATCAAAAATAAGTTGTAGTTTGATTATTTTGATTCTGAAGAATTAAAAAATGTTTCCAGATCGCGACGGCCTACAAGAAACATCGCTTCTACATTTTCACGAACGCCGAGCCCTTCAGCACCGAAGACGAGGAGGACTCGGGCGCGAGTCGCGACGTTTTCAACGAAAAACCCCTCAAAGAAGAAACGATCACCGCCGTGGAAGACGACGCACCACAGACGCGCTTGTGTGACAGAGCGATTATTCACACCTCCTATGGAGATATCCATGTGGAATTATACCCGGATAAATGCCCAAAAACTGTGGAAAATTTCTGCACCCTCGCCAGAAGAGGGTATTATAACAGTCATACGTTCCATAGAGTCATTAAGGTTGGTTTTTGAAAAGTTTTGAGGCGATTTTCTGCATAGCGCGAAATGCCGGGAAATTTTGCACTGTGCAAAAAATTTTTGGGTTTCGATTTCTCTGCAAGGTGTTGGGGATTTTTAATGAAATTTGGTCTGATAATACGTTGCAGTGTGATTGACAAGAATATTTGAAAATTTTGAGAATTCTCCAGACTTACCGCACGGTGCAGAGAAATTACGAAATTTCGCACCGTGCAAAAAATTTTTGACTCTCGATTTCTCTGCAAGGTGTTGGGGATTTTTAATGAAATTTGGTCTGATAGTACGTTGTAGTGTGATTGACAAGAATTTTTAAAATTTTTGCCAATTCTCCAGACCTACCCCAAGGTGCAGAGAAATTACGAAATTTCGCACCGTGCAAAAAAATTTTGACTGGAGATTTCTCAGCGCGATGCAGAGTATTTTTAATGAAATTTGGTCTGATAGTACGTTGCAGTGTAATTGACAAGAATATTTGAAAATTTTGACAATTGCTCACTTTTATCGCACGGTGCAGAGAAGTTTCGAAATTTCGCACAGTGCAAGCAATTTTTGACTCTCGATTTCTCTGTGCGATGCCGAGTATTTTCGATGAAATTTGGGCTGATAGTACGTTACAGTGTGATTGACAAGGATATTTGAAAATTTTGGACAATTCTCCAAACGTACCGCACGGTGCAGAAACTTTACGAAATTTCGCACGGTGCAGTCGATTTCCCACGGATTTCATCGCACTATGCGTTTGTATTTGAAGTTTTTCGTAAGAGAATATTTCCAGGCCTTCATGATCCAAACTGGAGACCCGACGGGAAAAGGAACCGGCGGCCAATCGATCTGGGGACACGACTTTGAAGATGAATTCCATCCCCTACTCAAACATGATAAACCATATCGATTATCCATGGCCAATGCAGGCCCAAATACAAATGGATCTCAATTCTTCATCACGGTATGCCCGGCGGACTGGCTAGACGGCAAAAATACACTTTTCGGACATGTAAGTTGTCTAGTGTAATATATTTTTTTTCTGGAATTGATGAAATTTTTGACTAAAAAAGGTAATATATGGGATATTTAGGTCACCGAAGGCTTCAATGTGGTCCAGAAAATCAACGACGTCCCAACTCACGACAAATCCGGCCGTCCCAAAAAAGAAATTACAATTGTCTCAATCTCACTTAAAAGCGAGTGATTGTTGGTCGAATAATGATCTGATTTTGATTGTTTTTAATGTTATTCATGTTGAGAAATAAATAAAGTTACAAATTGCACATTTTTAGCCGTAAAAATCTCCTTTTTCTAATCGTTCGTATAAAATGTCCCAACTGCCTGGGCGCAGCTCGCACCAAAAATAATTGCAAAAAATCTCGCCGAATTTTGTTTTTGCCTCAAAATTTGTTAGAAACTAGGTACAAAATGGCCTTCCGAACGGGTCCACCGCCTCCGGCAGGTAGGTTTTACGATTGTTTATATTATCCATTCATTAGATCATCAACTAAAATTGGCGATCGAGAGAACGGCGTTGTACGTGGCGCAGAACGGTCCGCAAAGTGAGATCGAGGCACGGAGAGTGAATTACGGAAACCCGGGTTATCAGTTTTTGTACAACGGCGAAGGATCCACGTATTATCAGTTTTGTTTGGCCAAAGAAATTAATAATTGTAAGATCTTCAAGTTTTTTTGTTGTTTTTTAGGCTGAAAATTGATGTAGATGGTAGTAAAAGGTCTTCTGCGGCTGTGGTTATTTATAGCCGGTTGTTTTCTTGTACTTTTTAATAGTAATCAGCTGTTTTTGTTAGCGCACTTGTGTTGTTTATGCCTATTACAAGGTTTGGTCCGATTGATTGCTCTGTGATGCCGATGCTGGTTGTTTTTGGTTTATTCTGTGTAATCGGCTACTGGCTAGCTATTAGACTCAGTCTCAGTCAATCTCGAGCGCAATTTTTAGAGTTATCATATATTTTTTGTTATCCATACCTTCTGCATGCTCATTTTTCGTAACTGTCAAAAAAAAAACCCCCTAAGTTTTTCCCATTTTCAGTAGCTCAAATTGCCAAAGCACCTCCAGGAGCTGTTGCTGGACCCTCGACATCCCAGCCCGTCCCTTTAAATTCAATTCCTCCGCTGCTACCGCCCTCAGAAGGTCCACCCCCTCCAATCGACGCCGAAATTGCTGCTTTGGAAGGGCAGATCGCCCAATTGAGGGAGCAAATCGTACAGAGCGAACGGAATTTACAAGCACATGATGCTTCTATCCCTGATCAACGAAAAGTAAGTCGGTTTGTGTTTTATTTTATTCGAATTTTAGTTCAAAACGGAGAAGGCGTTTTGTCAGAAGGAAGAAGAACGAATCAACGGTCTCATGGAGAAGATTGGGATAGTCAGAGACGACTTTGTCCCCTTAATCGAAACCTTATCTTCTAGCGGATCTAAGGATACTATCTCTGTACGTTTTGATTATAAATTTATGGGGTTTTTAGCTCTTCAAATATCTGAACCTAAAATAATATAAATTTCCCGTTTTAGAAAGTAAAGCATTGGATTTTCGATCACGCCGAGAATGATCAGAAACGAGAAGTGGTTCTCACTTACTTTTTACACCGGTTTCGATCAGCTGAGACCAGCGACAACATGAAACTCCACATATTATACTTGATCAACGACTGGGCCTATTATTGGTGAGTTTTTTGGCGATTATTGCTTATGTTTTTAGTGATCGAAAGAAGTTGACGAATATACGCCAAACACTGAGTCGATATGTCCCGAAATTCTTTGCGTTGGCCTCGCAGAGCTCGGTTTTGAGTCCAAAGTTGGACAAGCTTGTTGGTGTCTGGGAAGGCGGGCGGTATTTCGATGACAGCTGCTTTAAAGTGAGTTGTAGTTTGTTGAACATGGTGTTAGATAATTTTTATGTTTGGTTGTTAGGCGTTTGGATCTGTGGGTTTTTAGAAATTTCAATTTTTTTGGGAGGTTCGACCTTATTTTAGGTGTCTTTAGGAAAACCTCGAAATTTGATGAAAAATTGGGTTGAATTGGACTGACTATTGTTTACATTTGATGTTTATAAGGCTGTGTAACTATTATGAACAAATATTAATTGCATTTTCCTTTCAGCAACTCCGAAATCCGGCTCAAATCTTATCCATGGAGCAGGTCGCTCTGAACGTCGAAAAGCAAAAAATTGGCGACGAAATCGAAAAGGAACTCCGCGCTAATCTCGCACAATATCAGAAGCAGCATCAAGAATATGAGAAACATATCCAAGTCCAAATCACCGCCCTTCGCGCCAAGATCGAGACCATCAAACGTCAGCAACAGCTGAAAGCCATGGATAAGTTGGATTTGAAGCCGAAAGGAGAGTATTATGAACTCCCAGCCGGAATGATTGTACCGCTATTGCCGCCCGAAGAGTTTGGGTTCAAGGTTTTGAAGCCGGAAGACCTGAGGTTACCACCACCGACCGATATGAATGATATGTTGTTGGCTCAAGTGGATCGGTTTTATGCGATGGTTAATGCTCCAAGAATGGAAGATTTTAACAGGTAATTGAAGTGTCATGAGCCTTTGAGAAGTTGAGGGGGAGTTTTAGAGCTTTTGGAGGAAATAAAGTTTTCGTGGTGGGACCCAGAGATGAATATTATGTTGGATTTCAAATTGAAAATTTTTTGGATTGATGGCTATTAGAAGGTATAAAAAGTGTTTTTAGCGACGGCTGGGACATCCGCGGTCTCCATGAGTTCGACAATCTCAAAGCCAAATATCGCCAGGAGCTCCTGGACAAACTCAAGGAAGAAGACAAAACAATTGAAGATTTGATCAAAGAAAATCAACCCGAATATCACACGGAATCGGACTCGGACTCAGCTTCGTCCTCTTCGAGCTCATCCAGCAGTTATTCGTCGAGGTCTCGGAGCAGATCGAGAAGTCGGTCAAGGAGTAGATCAAGGTCACGAAGTATATCTCCGGAGGCCCGGCCAAGCTTTTCAGCAAACGCAAGAGCAAGAGAAGGTCCTCCAGTATTTGTGAAGTGAGTTTGAGAGGTGTTTAATGATTTTTCCGCGGAAAAATTTGGGGATTTTTTGGAAATTTTGATGGATGAAACGTAATGCAGAAAATAAATAGATGCAGGAAAGAGAGTTTGCTGGCAGATTTAGCTAGTTTTTATATCAGAAATTTTGGGAAAATTCAAGCCCCCCCCCCCCGATCAATTTTCAGGCAGCACCCCAAAATTTTGCGTGACTGCAAATTCGCCAAAACGGGAGGACATGATTCGGAAGCCTTCGGGGGAAATTTGGTCTGTTTTTTCAATTTCAAGTTCAGAGAAAGAGTCCTGACCGAAAACGAAGAGGATATGGGACTTATCGGGAGGGGAAGGAGTACCAGTAAAGAACTGGTGTAAGTCGGGAACCGCAAGAGCTCTGAAGCTTACAATTGGCCCATTCTTGGACTTTAGGGGTACAGTTACCTCACGAGTTTCAATCACCGTTTTGACTCCGCCTACGGGAACTACGGTTCGGGGAATGACAGGACCAAGGGAAAGACCCATTCTGGAGCAAAGAGAGTATTCTACAAAGGTCGCATCGGAACCAGTATCGATAAAGGCTCTAACTGGATCAAGGTGATTATCGAGAAGGATCTTAGGAGACATTAAACTCTCGTATTGGTCAAGGATAACGCCTCTAATCTGTATATCGGGAGTTGGGGAATTCTGAGCGGGTGGTACCGGTATTGGAGGAAAATGAGTCTGCGCCGGATTCCGAGCACTATTAGTACTATTATTAGGGAAAGAGGATCTCTGGTTGGATCGATTAGGGAAGGATGAGGAGTTTGGGGAGAAACGATTACTCGTGGAATTATTGGTAGTGGACATAGACTGATTCTGTGAGGGGAATTTCTGATAACACACCGATACATGATGATTCTTTTGACAACACGAACATCTGGGGGATCGGCATGCCGCTTCCGAGTGATTAGACCTAAGGCAACGAAGACACAACCCTTTCTGCCTAATAACTCGCTGCCGCTGGGAAACTTCGGACACAGTACGACAGTCCTCAGAACGATGGTTTCGGGAACAAAATACACACGAATCCCGGGACGGGGCATTCTGTGAAGAGGGGAAGGGACGGGAATCAAAGTTCGAAGACTTGAAGAAATTGCGGGCTTCTCGACGATCGGATGCGTCTTCAGCTCGGAACTGTAATTTGTCGCGGGTTCTAACAATTACTCCTAACTCATTAATCACGTTCTCCACTGTTGGGGACAAGGAGGATCGATCAAAGGTCGCAACGATAGCTTCATGGATTTTGTACGGGAGGGAATCAAAGAGACAAGACAGGAACAAACTTTCTTGGGCCTCAGATGCAGATTTCAAGATACATGCACTGAGATCACGGAGTTGGTAGTACCAAGCCGTGAGTTCTTTGTGATCTCGGGGGACGGACAGTCTTTTATCTTTCAAAATTTTCATCAATCTATGAATTTGCTCATCTGAATCACCGTAACGATCCTCCAGTGATTTCAAGATGATAGCTAGACTACCTTGTCGGACGGGAACTGACTGGATACTATTCAGTGGCTCACCACTGAGGTTCGAAACAACGAAAGCGATAAGCGCTGTTTCTGGGTATTCCTTATTATAATTGATGACTTCATTCAAGAGGGCAAAAAACATGGGGAATTCTTCCTTTCTACCACTGAATCGAGGAATTTTCGCCTTTGAAAGTTCGAAGGCTAAGGGTTTGGTCGAGGAGGTATTGACTTGAGGAAGTTGAGGAACTACAGGTGGAGAGGGTATCGGGGGATTAATGGGGGGAGGACAGATTTGCGTAGGATTCAAGGAAGTGGGACCTCGGGGGATAGGATTTGGAATGGTCAAGGACATAGAAGCAATAGTCTCTTCAAGATTGCCAATGATCTCTCGACAACTTTTCATCCAATATTTTATTATAGCCGAAAGCACATTGCGTTCAATTGATGCGAGAAAGTCGGTTACCAAACTGCCAGCCACGTTTTCCGCATGACAAAAGTTAGTCAAGTTCAAAACTAAATCTCTGGACTTATTCTCTAAGCTACGTAACTCAGTCAAGGTCGATCTTAAACGGTCAAGGGTAACGGTAGGGGCGATACTGTAATCATTGAGTTGGTCTAGTGGGCGCTCGAGGTCTTGGAGGATGTGTAACAAATCACTCTCATAGAGCATGTGGATTTGATGGCAAAGGACTATAATTTCGTCGAGGGTTTTGTTTTTTCCAACACTTTTAAAGGTTTCGCGATCTTGAGTATCATTGACTAGCTCATCGCCATATTGGCTCAGATATTCAATATGAGTGTGCCAAGTGTCTTTAGAAAACAGCGGGGAAGCCAAGATTTGGGAAGGGACTAATGTGATTGATTCTTGGGTTTTAGGCGAGGAAACCTCATCGGGTTCCTGTGGATCGGTCATTATACTTTATTGTAATACGGGGGGAGATGATTATAGGATACGGTGAGGGATTAAAAAAAGAGAATTACGAGAAGCTATGATACAAAAGGTTTTTTTTTTATGTTTTTTTTTTTTTACAGGGAATATGTATGACGAGGGATATATACGAGAGAAGAGGAAGTTAAATTGGACAGTGAATCGAGGGAAGTCTAGGTGGAATACTAGAGGGTATGGGTATGGATTCACTACGAAAAACGATTAACTTCGGGGAAAAATGGAAATGGGTAAGGGGAAGGGCAAGATTAAAGTCACGATAACCGCTTGTTCTACGGATAGCCGCAAGCGGGGCCTCTAGTGGGACTGGGATTCTAAAGACAAAGGGGCGAACACCCTGGCCAAAAGGTGACGCAAAAAAAAAGGGAAAAATCGCTTGTCTTACCGTACTTCGAGGTCCTGGTTACGTCAGGCAGCACCCCATATAACACCCCAAAATTTTGCGTGACTTATAGATGGCTCATAGCGCCACTCCGTCGAAAAAGTGCGGCTGATACGAATGTAATACCCTTTCTAATACTACAGAGTACAAGACGAATAGTATTAAGAGCAGGTTGGTTCAAAACCGGACCAAAAAACTCGCAAATTTCCAAGTGGAACCAAAAACCTGGGACACCCAAAATTTTAAAAAAATCGCCATAACGCCAGAGTACTGAAGCCAATTTTGATAAAACTTCGCATAGCTTATTCTCAAAGGTTGGTTAACACTTGTGTAAAATTTCATGGCATTTGAGAAAGAACCCCCAGAGATATGATCAAAAAATGGGGTGGAACCAAAAACCTGGAACGCACTGTATTAATAAAATCTGATATTTTAAGGCTTGGCAAGATGCCAGACTCTAGCTCACAACAAAACTTTTGAATTGGTAAAAACCTGGTCAAAAAGGCATTTGCGTGGTGTTCCGAGAAAAGTTCTGAGGAATTTTTCACCCTTACAGACCAAAATTGGGCAGCTAATTTTTACATATTCTGAATCAGAAAAATTTTGCGATTTTTTTGATATATGTCTCGACCTGTAACTCGATACTCCATAGAAGTACTTTCCTTGTGAAATTTCCTCAATTTTCCCAAAATTTCTGATATAAAAACTGCATAAATCTGCCAAGAAACTATCTGTCCTCTAGCATTTTATCCTCTGCATTTCATTTTACTCATAAAATTTCCAAAAAATCAAAATAACCCCAAAAAATCATCAAAATTGGAAAATTCCTTGTCAAAAATTTGTTCCATTTTGGAAATGATTGATTTTTTGTGGTTTTTGCCACAATTTTTTGCCTTGAATATGCATTGAAAAGATGGAGAGTTGAGTAGAGCACAATTTACAATCAAAATTTATTTAATTTACAGACCATCCGAACCCACCACATCCTTCAAAACGCCCCTCCCACCAACCAATAAAGGCGCCCAACTCTTGCAACGAATGGGCTGGGAAGGCGGTGGCTTAGGCGCTGACGGTCGTGGCAGAGCCGAACCGGTCGATATCGGCGGCCCCAGAGACATTCAAGACCAATTCCGAGGCATTGGATCCAAACCAGACGAATTTGAAGAATACCGAAAACAAATGAGCAAAAGGTTCGCAAAATGACTGGAATTTGCTGTAATTTGGAGATTTTCTTGATCTAAATTTTTCATTGTTGAATAAATTAATTGATTTTTTTTTATTTTAAATGTTTTTTTTTCTTATTTTTTTTGCACGGTGCACTCGAACCGGTCGAATATTTTTCATTTTTTCTCCCATTTTCCCTTATTTTCACCCCAAATTTTGGACGAATTCAGACCAAAAACAGAGTGAAGTATCATGTGGAGAAGCCGGAAGGTCCTGGCAACCGCTGCGACGGCCGCAGTACTGGGTGGAACCACGTACGCTTATGGAGACCAATTGAAGGTCCGAACCGCGTATTTATTGTCTCAAGAGCCGACTATCATCGACCAGAGTCAAGTGTTGTTCCCGAGGCAACAGTGGGACTCGAATTGGGATCAGTAAGTTGATTTAGTTTGAGCTTTTTGAGCAGTCGGATCTGATGGACCTAAAGTAATATCGGGGATGGGGAAATAATGTGAATTTTGGGGAGTTTGTGTTTTATCAGATTGAATGGAAGTTGTGCTGAGATTTTATACCACTTTTCCGCCTTTTTAGCGCAAATTTCGGTCGAAGCGAGGGCGCAGCTCGCCGAATCCAAAAATCGACATTTTTGACGATAAAAGGTGAAAAATGAAAGAAATATCAATAATTTACCCGAAAATAATTAATCAAGCCTTTTTTCTTTATCTGCGAACATATAGACTTTGTAAAATTACATTTTTTACCATAAAATTGTCTAAAACAATATAATTTTCAAACTTTTTTCAGACGAGACCCCATGTCCATGGTAAATAAGGAGAAATACTTGGCTGCGGACCCAGAAAAACGAAAAGAAATGCTCGAGGAACACAAGCCCAAAGCCACGAGAAATATTTTCTTGATCCGACATGGGCAATATCATTTGGACTCGGAGAAACGAAATCTCACCCCACTCGGGCAAGAACAAGCCCAGTTGTTGGGCGAACGCCTGGCCAAGACGAATATAAAATACGATGTGTGCGTGATGTCGACGATGAATCGGTAAGAAAATTTATTTTTTCTATGGCAAGGATAATATAATTTTTGATGAAAAAAGTTGAGAAATTTTAATTCTATTGTGTGATGATCTTATATTTCGTATTTTAGCGCTACTGAGACGGCATTGTTGATGCTGGAAAAGATGGATCCAACGATTCCCAAGGAATCTGACTCTCTACTGGAAGAAGGCGCTCCATACCCACCGGAACCTCCGCTTAGTAGCTGGAAACCATCGCAAAAGGTAATGATTACATTATTCGAAAGCATAATTTTTACTGCAGTTCGCGCCCAACGCTTATTTTGAAGTTTCTGCATCGGCGAGCTGCGACCTAGGATAAGGCTGAGAATTGAACTTTTTGAAGTGATAGGAGGCTTTTCCAGAAATTTTTGACTTATTTTTATATATTTTTGGCAGCTTGCGCCCAGGAAATAGCGCTTTTTCTATATGGCGAGCTGCGCCCTAGGATAAAGCGGAGAATTGGCCTGGGATTGTCGCAAAATGTTTTGGAATGATAGGAGGAGTTCTCCAATAATTTTTGACTTATTTTTTTATATTTTTGGCAGCTCGCGCCCAGGGAACCCCGGTTTCCCTTAATTTTGGCGAGCTGCGCCCGACTAAACGAATATAATGTTGATTTTTGAGAAGTTTTACACCGAAGGCGCCAGAATCGAAGCCGCATTCCGCAAGTACATCCATCGAGCGTCGCCCCGCCAGAAACATGACAGCTACGAACTGATCGTTTGTCACGCAAATGTGATCCGATACTTTGTTTGCAGGTAAGGAAATTCGTTTAATTTTGGGTATTAAGACGTAAAAAAGGCTTTACGGGCAATGGTTTTGAGTTTCAGATAAATTTTTTGCCATTTTCAAAGTTTTGTTGAATTTTAACCTAGTATAATATAAAAATTTTTTCAGAGCCCTGCAATTCCCCCGAGAAGGATGGCTGCGACTCTCGCTGGGCAACAGCAGTATTACCTGGATGGTTTTGAGGCCAAACGGCGCAGTTTCGATCCGTGGTCTCGGAGATTTCGGCCATCTTCCACATGACAAGGTCTCATTCACCTAAGGCTTTAATTTTGATCATTTTGTCCGGTAAAACTAAGTAAATCAATTTTTTGATTAATAAGACTAATTAATCCCCCACAATTCAAGCGCTTTCCCAACTTTTTGTCATCATTTTTATATTACACTAGGTCACTGGGATAAAAATCAAGTGAAAATTCAAAAAAAAAGTAAAAAAAACTGGCAAACATTATAAATTAAAAATACGGATTTACATTTCCACTTATTTCTCCTCTTTTTTCGCTCTTTCCACAATTTCCATTGGCGTATTTTGGCCTAAAATACGGTTGACAAAATGGGTCGCCTTGGTGTTTGGGTCGATTTGCAGTGGAAAAGCTTCGGCCAAATTGGTCAAACTTTCAATCACTGCCTCCTTTTCCGGCTGGGGTCTATCCAGATGCCGAATCGACGATTTTATATCCACTTTTCCGGGGAGCGGAGTGTGCGGATCCAATGCTTTTTGCTTCAAAAGCTGGCATTCATGGAGAATCTTTGGGTCCGGGAGATGTTTCAATTTGTAGTCCGAGGGTCCTAGCATCATATTATCAACGAACTCGTCCATGGCGTCCTGTTGATACTCTGAAAATTCGAAATTTTACACCTGACCTCAAGTGTAATATAAAAATGTTCAGAAAACCTCAATTTTCCTCAAAAAATGCAATTTAAAACTGATGGAAATATCAGAGATAGCTCTGTAGTAAAAATAAAACACATATGAAGTCGAAATACACTCAAAATTTACCTGAAATAGGCTCCACAGTGTCTTCTAGTAGAGGAAATTCAAAATTTCGGACTTCATCTCCAAAGGGCAAGATGTAATGGATGAAAACCTGGAAAGTAGTGTCGTAAAAGATACGTAGAAGCACTTTCTGTAGTAACACTTCTGTTGATGCAAATTATTTTCAAGAAAAATCAAAAATTTCCAAAACTCGTGACACCGGAAAGAATTTTCAATTTTGGGACAAAAAAGTCTCAAAGTTGTCAAATTTTGTGAAACCGCTGCTACTAGCCTGTTCGTAAAGTCGCTGGAGTGATTTTCATCGAATTTAGCGACATGCACTGTGCGGAAAAACGTCAGGGTACGAGCGAGAGTCCGAAAAAGCATATTGCACAGTGCAAAATGCGGAGTTGGACGATTCGGGAAACCGAAAAGTATTATTTTTCTTCAATTCAAGTGTCGAAACTAGGATAATCGAGGGTGCTGATTTCGAAAATGACATTCGTTTTTTTTTTTGATAGTTACTTTTTTCCTTAAGTAGTACTGTAAAATAGTAATTTTTTGATTTTTTTCACAAATACTCGATTTAGAGGTTCTCGATTTCGAAAATCTTGTTTATTTTTTTCTGATTTGAAAGCAGCACCGTCGAAAACCCCCAAATCGAGTATTCGGGCAAAAAATTCAAAAAATTGCTACTTTACAGTACTACTTAAGGAAAAAAGTAACTATCGAAAAAAATGAATGTCATTTTCGACCCTCGGTTATCCTAATTTCACACTTGCATCGACGAAAAATAATACTTTTCGGTTTCCCCAATCGTCCAACTCCGCATTTTGCACTGTGCAATAGGCTTTTCGGGCTGCCCCCCTCGCACCCTGACGTTTTTCCGCGCATTGCGTGTCGCTTAAGTCGCTGAAAATCACTCCAGCGACTTTATGAACGGGCTAGTAGCAGTCGTTTCACAAAATTTGACAACTTTTCTACTCTTCGGTTTCCCAACCGTCTTTTTCCCCACTCATCCCAGTTCCCAGAATGAAATTTTGTTTTCGCACAGTGCATGTCGCGAAAATCACTTCAGCGACTTTGCGAACGGACCACTAGGATCTCGAATATTCCCTGAGACTGCCTAAAAATCAAAAACAAATTGAAAACTCTTACCGGAACTCCACTTTTGCTCATTTTTGGGATCAGCACCGCGACCTTTGGATGAGCCGCAGCACTGTAGGCATATCGACAAATTGCGACTCTATCCTTGGCAATAAGATCCTTGACCAGCTCCATTAGCACTTTTTGGCTGGCTTCGGCCTCGGGATACGGTAGGAAGTACCTGGCTTCCGACATTATATATTGTGGTAGTATCTGAAGTAAAAAAATCAATTTTATGACAAAAAATCACACTTACATTCTCCTTGGGGGCAAATTGGATCAACTTGAGCTGTTTGGTTTCATGTTTTGGGACAAAATCTTCCATGTCCAGCTCGGTTACGGGCACATAATCCTTTCCGTAGGCGTATCCTTTGATCAAATTCGCCTTATCGACGATTCGTCCAGCTGGCGCCGACTTTATTTTGCCTGTTCTGACCTCCTCATCGGTCAATTTGTCCAGTTCCGCGGCTGTTACTTTCACTTCCGGCTGTGTGGTGAAGTGAAAACGCTTGGTCAACTAAAATAATATAAATTTTTTTGATCCTCCTGATTTTCTGTATCTAAAAATCAACAAAAAAATCTCAAAATGACTTACCTGTCTGCCAGCCTTGTTGACGAGCATATATTTCCATTGAGGCTTGAGATTTGTGTTCTTTACGTACATCTGCACCTTCAACTTGACATCAGGCCCTACTTCAAGTTCAAACGGCTGACCTCTTGGCTGAGTCTCTTTCGGATTGAAGCCAGAGAAACGCTTGTAACATTCGGAGAAGCTGATCCACTGAAGTGAACATTGGCTAGCCAAAATTTGCATAAATTTGAATTCATGCGAGTTTTTGTTTTCTAAGGTAATATCAGGCGATCTGAAAGGGAAAATAAGGTAATTCAAGTCTCAATTAGGTGATAATCGATTGATAAATGAATAACTCACCCAACAATGAGATCGGCATCAGCTTTTGCCAGCATACTTGCCAATTTCAGGGCAGTCTTACTTGTCAGCTCGGATTCATCAGCACATTTGAGATTACTAAGCAAGAAAATGGTCCTGCCAGCCACATTAGTCTTCGGGTAGTCTTTGGAGTACTGTTTGAAAAGTTCCAAGGCTTTCTCAATACCTCTTATAACTAAAAATTTAAAAGTTTGGTCTTGATCTCATGTACAATATAAATTTGATGTTTGCATGATATTACGGGTGTTTTTTGAAATGAAAACCAATGAAAAAAAGAGCATAGTTCTCAATAGTGCTGTTAACAGCAATTTCTCACAAAAAAGCCAAAAATTTCCCGTTGAAAAACACAAAATTATCTACACCATGAAACCAGAAGTGGTCATTCCAAAAAATGCTCTATATTTCATCTCAACCCTAAAATTCAAAGACAAAACAAGAACAAAAACTTACAAGAAGTATCCGTGGAGATCATTGGCTTTTCATTTCGCAATGCAATAATTGTATTAAAGTCTGCCGGACTAAATTCCTTCAACACATTCACCTGATCCGAACCGAACAAAACGCAAGAATACAGGTCGGTGGCTTGAGAGAAGATCTAAACAGAACGAATAACTGATAAAACACATCATTACTCACCTTTCTACTCAAGAGCAAGTCAGAAATTTCAATAGACGCTTCAAAATCCGTGTCGCAATTTATGTTGGACAAGGCGGAGGTGTTGGCCGTTTCGTTTCGATCGATGAGGATTGTGGCAAGCTCCAGATGCTTTTTTGGAGGCATTTTTGAGGTGAATCAGGAGTAAAAAAGTTGTTTTCGAAGATTTTTCTTCTTCAAAAATAATATTTTATCACGGCAGGCTGCGCCCGATGTTTCTGCAGGTTGGTGTTATACGATGAAAGCTGTCCGGGAGGTGAAGAATTGTTACAGTATCTTTATGATTACAAAAGAATTTGACAAAAAAATCAATTTGATGTGTTATTAAGGATTTTTCTGAGGTAATAAACAGTAATACGGATGTTAAATAAATATTTTTTGATCCGATGTTATACTTGATGTGTAAATTAAAATAATTTGCTTATTACATAAAATACAAAGCTTCCACTTGAATTTTATTCCTTCAAATCAACTCTACGTTCAAATTTCTCTGCACTAGCGGCTGTAATTATGACGTCATAGGCAGAAAAAATAAAGAAAGAAGATAATTCTGTTATAAATCAGTGATAACAAATTTTCTGCGCAAGGAATGCAAAGAAGAAGGCAGAAGAAATATTCATATTGTCAGAAGGGAGATTTAGGACCGTGGTTGAGGTAGTTTTGGGGGTTTCAGGGAGGAAGTAATAATTTTTTAATTTGAATTTTTTTGATGATTTTAAAAGTTTTCTTTGTAAATTTTAATGATTTAATCAAATAAAAGTTGAGCGTATTTTACATTTAAAATTTAAAATAGAGACCCTTTTTACTACTACTACAATACAATGACTTTCAATTTTTTTACTAATTTTTTGAATATAAAAGTTTTTTTTTTTATTTTTATAATTTCAAAAATCGTGAATTTATTTAATCAATCATCGTTTCAAAATAAGAAATAGACATAATTTTGATTTAAAATTTTCAGAAAATAAAAAAAAAATTCATCATGTCAGCTGTCAGATTCGAGGACTTCGAGCACGTCAAGTACGTCGGAGAAGGAGCTTTTGGATTGGTAATTATTTTATTTTTTTGAGTTTGAAAACGAAATAAAAAATAACAAATTAATCAAAAAAAATTTTTATATTTTTTTTGTTGTTTTTTTTTATTTTTTATTTTTTTTTTTTTTTTGAGAAAAATTAATTAAAATTTATAAAAAATGAATTAATTTTTTACTATGTTTAAAAAAATTAAATAAAAAAGATCAAAAAAAAAAAATAAATAAAAATTTTAATATTTTTTTAAATTAAAATTTCAGGTGTCCGTTGCGACCAAATTGAATGGAAATGATGCCAATCAAACATACGCCCTCAAAATGCTACAAAAGAAGAAATTGGCCAGCAACCACAACAACTTGAAGAATTTGTATGGGGAAATCAAAGCGCTGAAGCAAGTAAACGGCCAATATGCGCCAAAATTGGCGTATACCTTTCAAAATGAGCATGTGGTATGCCTGGTGATGGATTATGTTGAAGGATGTGATTTATACACATATATGCAGAAAGTTGGAAAATTGACGATGAAGCTGACGAAGTTTTTTAGTGGTAAGTCAATTTTTCACTTTTTAAATAAAAATTTTAATAAAAAAAATTTAAATTATTTTTTTTGAAAGTTTAATTTTTCAAATTTTTTAAAATGTATTTATTTTTAAAATTTAAAATTTTTTATCGAAAAATTTTTTCACCTTAAAAAAATTTTGAAAAATTATTCCAAAATTTTTTTGATATTTTTAATTATTTTTTTATTTTTTGATTATTTTTTGAGACAAAAAAAAATTATTTTGGATCTAAATTATTGAGTAAATTTTTTTTTATTTCATATTATAATTTTTTTCGATCTGTAAAAAATTTAAAAAAAATTATTTAAATTTTTTTTGGATTTTTAATTATTTTTTAAAATTTTTTGTTTATTTTTTTGCTGCGAAGAAAATTATTTTGGGATCTAAGTTGTAGATTTATTTTTTATTAAAAAAAAATAATTGAAAAAAATCAAAAAATAATTAAAAAAATTAAAAATTAAAACTTTAAAAAATCGAAAAAATATTAATAATTTTATTTTCAGCCCAATTAATCCTCGCCTTGGACTACCTGAACGAGGAGTACATTTGCCTCCGAGATTTGAAGCCAGAAAATATTATGGTAGCCCCCGATGGATACCTCAAGCTGATCGATTTTGGCTTCGCCAAAAGGGATGTCAAAAATTACCTCCAGAAAATGCACAGCTTCGTTGGAACCACCCTTTATATGGCTCCAGAATGCTTCAACAGAGAAGTTGGATACTCAAGGCTGGTGGATTGGTGGGCCCTCGGGGCAATTATCTACGAAATGTACTTTGGAATGGTCCCATTCGACGATGAGGACAACGATGAGTTGATCCGAAAGGTAAGAAAATTTTTCTTTATTTTTTTTTTTTATTATTTTTTTTAATTAAATTTGAAAAATCAATTTTTTTAAATTTGGAAAATTTACAAAAAATAAAAAATTTTAATAAATTTAGAATAATTTTTTGTATGTTTTTATAAAATTTTTAAAATTAGAAATTTAATTATATAAATTTATAAAATAAATTTTTTTGCTCAAAAAAATTAAAAAATTTTTAAAAAGTAAAAAAAATATTTTGAATTAAAAATTGATTTTTTTGTGATTAAAAAAATTTTTGCAAAAAAATTAAAAATATTTTAAAATAAAAATTTAGATTTTTTTAACTTTCATTAAAATTTTTTAATTTTTAAATTAAAAAATTTTAATTAAAAAAATTTTTTTATCAAGATAAAAAAAGGAAAAATTTTTTTTTTTTTGAATTTTTAAAAATTTTAAAGAAAAATTTTTTCTCTTTTTTGAATTTTTTAAAAATTTTAATTAAAATTTTTTTTTATCAAAAATAAATTTTAAATTAAAAAATTTTTTTATCAAAATAAAAAATGAAAAAAACGTTTTTTTGAATTTTTTCATTTTTTTTCAAAAAAATCAAATTTTTTTATTTTTCAGATTTGTGAGGAGGAGCCCTACTACCCTCCAAAAGTCAACCAGAACATCGAAGCAATAATGGTCTGCCTCCTCATGAAAGACGTCCACAATCGCCTCGGCTCAACCGGATTGCAAGAATTCAAGGAGTATGAATTCTATGCAAAATTTGATTTTGATGCCCTGAGGGAGAAAAAATTGAAGGCTCCGTTTTCAAAGCCTTTTCCCAAATTTGGAGGGCTGAAAGAAGAAGAGATTGTTGGGTGGAATTTTGAGGGCAAGAAAGGGATCAAGGACTTCAAAAACTTTGATTACACAGCGCCAGAATTGATCAAGGAGAAGAAGAAAGGGCGAAAAAGGGTGATTGAAGAGGAGGAGAAGGAGAATCTCCCGGCAAAAAGGGTGAGAAAACCCAAGAATCTTAGTTTAGAGGGTTTTTAATATTTTTTTTTCAATTTTTTAATATTTTATTTATTTATTTTCCAATTTTTATAGTCTTTCATTCAATTTTTTACCCGGTTTTTATATCAAAAAGCCAAAAAAAAATTTTAAATTGTTGTCTTTCAATTATAATATTATAATATTAATTTTTTTAATACTTTTTTTTGTTTTCTTATATCTTATTTTAACTTTTTTATTAATAAAAATATTTAAAAAACCAAAGAAAAAATTTTCAAATATAAAAATTTCACAACTTTTGTAAATTTTTCCAAAAAAATTTTTTTTAGAAAATCAAAAAATTGGTGTATTTTTCGATATACATACGATATACATACCCTAGTTATCAATCTCTGAAAGTTTTAGCTCGCGCTTTCCAATGGCAGCCGAGATATTCAACAATCTTTGCGGACGAGAGAGTATGCAAAACGCGGAGAGCGGTCAGAGAAAAAACACTTTTTTGCCGATATTTTTGCCAATTTCATGGGAAAAAGTATGATTTTTTGTGGAAATATTGCTCTCTACAATAGAAATAGGTGATTAACTTTTCGTCTCCAAAATCGCAAAAAAATTGTCACATTTTTGCCAACTTTCGACCTAAAAATCTCGGTTGTTTCTGCAACTTTGACTACCAAAGAGCTGTAAGAATTTTTTTCAATTTTTTATAAAAATTAAATAAAAAAATTACACAATTCTATCATAAATTGGGTCATTATGAGGAGGACTCATGTAGATTCTCTGGTATCGAGAGGAACATCCTCGAGTGAAATCGCCAAGAATCGAATGAGAGGTCTGATGACCATAGACTTCAGGTTGCTGTGAGGCCATTGGCAGGACGAGATTGTAGTTTTGTTTACTGAAAAATGGAAAAACGGAGGTTATTTGTAACATACTATTCATAGCAAAAAGCCATGAGAATTTAGACTTGACGGTTTCTGCAAAGCGCGAGCTAGGATTCTGGCATACATTTTAGAAAAAGTTATTCTAAATTTGCGCCAAGTTCCCTGAAAATCTGAGCGTCGCACTTGGAGTACTTCTCTTGTTAGAAATTTGCCAAAATTAGGCTCTTTTGAGTCATAACTAAGTTTAAAGGCCCAGGAAAATGACTGATTCTGTCTATGTTGTAGCTCTTGAAATTCTGTATATGATGGAAGAAAAAAAGTGTATGTTTAAGCGCTGGAAAGTACACTTTTTTTTACCTGAAGGTTGAATTTTTGATAATTTTCGATCATCATTTTCTCAACGTTAACATACAGTGAGGGACCTGATCCAATGGCAAAAAACGTCTGCTTTTGCATCCCGGAAGGGGCCAAAATGACTCCAAACCCTTCCCTTCTCTAACAAGGGAAGTCACTTAAGTCACGGATCGATTTTTAAAAACGACTGTTACAGCGATGGGGAGGGTATATAGGACGGAGATATCAAATCTGAAAACCGCTACCTCCACCGGCCTCTGGGAGCCGAGATAATCGACCAAAAAGGTTTGACCAAAAAAAAACTGCTCCGAATTTGCATCCTGGAAGGGACCAAAATGACTCCAAACCCTTCCCTTCTCAAAGCTAAAAAACTCCGCTTTGAAAAGCGCGCCCTTTCCTTCAAGGCGGGCTCTTCAAATCGGGGTTTTATAGCTTATTGTTAGAGAAGGGAAGGGTTTGGAGTCATTTTGGCCCCTTCCGGGATGCAAAAGCCGACGTTTTTTGCCATTGGATCCCGTCCCTCACTGTAAGGTATGATGATGTAGTTTGTATACGTCGAATGGCAATCTCTTATAGTCTAACAACCACTTTTTAGTTTAGTTACATCTATTGTGGCTAGCCAAATATACACCGACTTGTAAGCACTACTTTTCATTTTTTCCTTTTTTCGACACCGATCGGCGGCGGAAAAAATGTTCGAAACGCTGTGATTACTGTGAATTTCTCCCAAATTTTATCAAAATTTCCGGGTCGAATTCACAATATTTTCCCATTGAAAAATCCCCCAAATTTCTTACCCATTCTGCTCCACGGACCGTAAAATCCTGAGCTGTAAAGCCATTGGATTCTGATCCAATAAATCGGCGGCTTTCTTTGCCTCTTCACAAAGCCTCTCCTCCTCCTCCCAGCTCATTTCCTTCACTTCTTCTTGCTTTGGGAATTGCAGTTGACCAATAATATCGACTCTGTCGATAACTATGTTCGAAATCTTGATTCCGAACAAATTTCCACCTCTTTTTAGCTGCTTATTCATCTGACGTTCCAGGTCGGAAATGCCACTAATAACGTCTTCAACGGTCTCTTCAGAAATGCTGTTACGGAGAGCTTGAAGTAAATGGCTTTGGGCTCGGGTATGGTCGAAATTCGCGACATTTTCGACTTTGTAATCATAGCTGATTGAAAGCGAGAGCTCAAATGAGTCGAGGGAGTAAGCCTAAAAGGGAGACTAGTATCATAGTGACGGACCTGAGCCAGTATCAAAAAACGTGCCATTTTGCATCCGAGAAGTATCACAAATGTGGCAAAATACCTCCTTCTCCGACTAAAAAACTAAGTATCACAAAATCTGGCAAAATACCTCTCTCTCCATGTGAAAAAAATTCCGATTTCAAAAGACCCACCCTGGAGAAAGTTCCTTATTTTGGCCGCAACAAAGGTACCCCGCGAACTGCGCCCAAGCTTGGGCATGAAGTTAGGAAAAAACGCTGCGACCTAGCTGGCACTGAATTACCATAATAGCTCTATAGTTTTAAGGGTACCTACGAAGGCTGTGACGACTCATTTAGTTCCATACGGAGGCAATAAGTTTAGTTCCGGACATGTTTCATCGTATAAAGTGTAAAATCACAGGATGCAGCCGTTTTTGAAGGGTAAGGTGGTACGTAAAAAAGAAGGTACCTCACTAACTAAATCCACTGTCCGGGCATTGACAACGATGAATTGAGCGTGCACGCTAAATTTGGGCTAATTCCGACCAGTTTCCGCAAAGTTATAAGTTGTGGCCAAAATAAGGAACTTTTACCGAGACTAGTACAGTGAGGGACCTGATCCAGTGGCAAAAAACCTACCATTTTGCATCCGGGAAGTATCACAAAATGTGGCAAAATACCTCCCTCTCCAAATGAAAAAATTTCGATTTCAAAAAACCCACCCTCCCTTTTTGTGAGGGAAATTCAAAACGAAGTTTTTTAGTTGGAGAGGGAGGCATTTTGCCACATTTTTTGATGCTTACCGGATGACAAATGGTACGGTTTTGCTACTGGATCAGGTTTGTCACTGTATAAACAAATTATGCTCAAGTTTTTAGGCCTAAAATTGACTCATCGAGCCCTTGAAATTGAACCTAATACAGGGTGTACCAAATTCGGTGCCCGATTTGAATTGGCTATAACTTCTTTAATTTTGGGCCAAATTTTAAAATTCTTTTTTTCCCTGAATCCTCAGACAACCCCATTTTGTCTGATACCAAATATGTTATACATAGGTAAGTGTCATCTACAGTTATTGGATTTATTCTTGAAGTTCATTTTTTTGGTCGTTTTTCGGTTGTTTTTTCGGCCTTTCCCGGGGTGTCCGAAAATGGAGTACGGTGCGGAAGAAAAATACGGTGGAATTTCCCCTCCTGAAAATCGACGATGAGAATAAGAACAAAAAGTGAAGATCAACCTCCAGAGTTCGTCGAATGGTCCTTGGTGAAGGCATTCCCTCGGTTCTGGCCAAACTTCGTGTACTCATATGCGGATTTTCTCGGAATTTTGACAAAACTTCTTCAATTTTCAGCTCCGTTCGTACCCATCTTTCCTGCTTTTTTTGTTTCCTGTTAACCTGCCAGTCTCAAGGAACCTGTTCCACCAACGCCGAAATGTCTTGCGATCTGGGTTGAGCCTTACGTCCGTATTTCATCCTGTATTCCCTTTGAACATTTATCGGCGAACCGTATTTGCCATACCAAACCACAGACCAAGCTTTTTCTTCCGCACCGTACTCCATTTTCGGACACCCCGGGAAAGGCCGAAAAAACAACCGAAAAACGACCAAAAAAATGAACTTCAAGAATAAATCCAATAACTGTAGATGACACTTACCTATGTATAACATATTTGGTATCAGAAAAAATGGGGTTGTCTGAGGATTCAGGGAAAAAAAGAATTTTAAAATTTGGCCCAAAATTAAAGAAGTTATAGCCAATTAAAATCGGGCCACGAATTTGGTACACCCTGTAGATTATTTTTTGTTGTCAAAAAACTTCATTGTATATCTATATTTATATAGTAAAATATCAATATTTTTTTACCTGAATGTTTGAGACCTTTTCTGTTTTTTTCGATGTGTTCACAACTTCAAAGCTCTCAACGAATGGAAGAACAAAATAAACGCCCGGCTCAAGGACTGTGGACTTGTTGAACCGACGAAGAACTCCTTTACTTTCTTGGCGGACAATCTAAAAAATAGATCAGGAAAAATGACAAATGAAATGCCGGTGATCAAATTTCTACAGGATTGAGGCAAAGACAGCGATTTTTGGGTCGAAAAAAGAAGGAAAAGTTGAGAAAATGAGCTTACAGGGGAAGTACCCCAAGTACGACGCTCAGATTTTGATGAAACTTGGCAATAATTTAGAATAATTTTTTTCTAAGATATATGCGAGAATGCTAGCTCGCGCTTTGCAGAAACAACCGAGATTTTTAGATCGAAAGTCGGCCAAAATTTAGGACTTTTTGCCGAATTTCGGCACGAAAATTTTCATGCCTATTTCTACCGTAAAGGATAATGTTTCTACAAAAAATCAAAACTTTCCGCACGAAACTGCCAAAGTTGTGGCCAAAAAGCGCTTTTCTCTCTGACCGCTCTCCGGATTTAGCGTACTCTCTCGGCGACAAATACGGTTCAATATCTCGGTGGCGCTTGTAAAGTGCGAGCTAAAACTTCCAGGAATTGATACTTAGTCCATGCCCGACGTGTGTGCAAAGTTCAAAGAAAATCTGAGCGTCGCAATTGGGGTACTTCCCCTTTTTAGATGTCTCAAAATTATTCAAAAAAACAAAGATTTTTTCTTGCGATAGGCAGAGAAATGGCTAAAAAGATTTTCTCTGACAGATCTCCCCATTTTGCGTAGTCTCTTGCCTCCAAAGATTGCTTAAAATCTCGGCCGCACCTGCAAGGCGCAAGCTAGAACTTTCAATAAATAAAACATGGATTAGACACACTATTCTACCAAGATATCTCACAATAAAAACTGCTGAAAGCATATCGTATTTTACCCAACAAACTCTTACCTTTAAAACAAACGGCCACAGGATTGGAAACAGCAAAATCATCACAATTTTTACAACAAAATAAACAATTTTAGTAAGCAAATTCGCCTTCGGCTTTGCAACATTGGCCTCGACATCAACTGCAGTCTTAATAGACGAGGTTTTGAACAGCAAACTGGAGTTGCTTTGATCCGTCGAATCGGTATCCGCCATTTGAATTTGACCACTTTTGAATAAAGTAAAAGTAGCAATTTAACTGCTATTTAATAGTCAATATCCCACCTGGATGACAATTAGCCTAATTCCCATCCAAATCGTAATTAAATATCACATCGCGAAACCAGTTAATCTCCCCCCAACTTTCTCTTCTTCGATTAATCGTTTTTCTGCCGCATTTCCCTCCGATCACAGAGTAATGTGCAATGAAGAGCGGTCTTATTGGGATTGCGAATTCGAAGGAATGAGGAAGGGTGGAGGGGTGAAAACGTTGAGAGAAGCGATGAAACAGAGGCATGCTTGATATCCACAATGTAGAACCACTTTGTCAGGGGCGTTCCAGAGGTGAGACGCGCGGCTTTCATTGAAATTTTGAGCATATGTTGTGCCTAGGACAACATCAACTGATTTTCATATAGAGAAAATCTTGATGCGAGCCTTTGTTTTGAGTCAAGCCGCCTTCTTGGTCAAAAATTTTCGCGTCCCGACTTTTCGGGTCAACGACAGTTCGGGTCAACGCAAAACCGATCGATTCGGGGCCTAGGACAGGTGAATACACCAAAAAACGGTCGTGGAAAGTGCCTACGAGACCTGGCAAAACCGTTGAATGCTCGACGGAGGCTCGGCGAAAGCTCGGCGGAGACTTGGCGAAGACTTACAATATGTCAACTATTTCTAACTTTAGCCATTATTTACGTTTGTTTTCTTTACCCTGGGTTACTGTAACATAAAAAAAACTAAAATTTGCAGCAAAAAACAAAGATCCGCTACTTTCATCTTGATATAATAGGTGACAGGCTATTCCAGGGCACGATCAATCTTACTATTTCCACTAACTAAGCCCTCTCCCAGCCTCCCCATGCAATGCAATCCATATACAGGGTCTTAAAAAAAACGTGAAGGAATGTAGAAGGCTGTAACTTCCGGCGGAGGCGGCGCAGAGACTTCGTATTTGAAATATGTATTTTTAAAAGACATAAGTTTTTGTCTACGAAATAACAAGCTTTTAGAGTGCAAACTGAGGTCGCTACGACCTTCTGAAGTAGAGGCATCTCTACCCCGTTATAGCCTTCCACTTTCCTTCACGTTTTTTGTAGGACCCTATACTGGTCGACAAAATTTTCTGTCCATCTGGATCTCGGGAACTGCTGGGCCCAGTACCTTGAAATTGATCGCAGAAACACTGCGGGGAAATCTTACACCATACCCAAAAAATCGCATCATTTGATTCACTTATCATGCACTTTTTACCCCGATGACTAAATTATTGATGTGAGTACATGTAAAATACCTCAAAATATGTGATAAGCTCTCCGAGGACCAGATCAATCTTATTTCTTTCTACTAACTAAGCCTTCTCCTAGCCTCCTCATGCATACGACGAACCGACGCGATCCATAGTATCGTTGACCCGAGCTGCCCTGATCCAAAAAGCCGTGGCGCCAAAATTTTTTAGTATGATAATTGTTGTTTTTGTTACGATTTGAATCTTTTTAGTCTACAAAAATAATAATAATTTATTTGACTCTCCTAAGGGAACCGATAAAAAAGGCAACGACCGAAGCGAAGATGTACAAGGTGAGCAACACAACATATAGACCTTGAAATAAGTGAACAATCCTTTGTTTTCTGTGTAATTTGGGCAATACTTTTGTAACCGACTAGAAAAAGAGAGACATCAATTTACAAGTAAAAAAAACTGTTTTTTGGAAAGAAATTACATCGGAATGGATAAAATTGAGATGAAAATGAAGACTAATACAAATTGTAATCCAGTATGATGACTATGTGGTAGCGTCCGTTTTGACTGTCGCTATTGAACTCTGATCGTCCACGTCGTCCACGGAGACGTTTGTTTCATTGTCAGTGGGTGTGGACGGGTTGGATGTGGAGGGCTTGCATTCGAGCTGAAAAATTAGTGATGAAAAAAAATCCAAAATAGAGCTTTGAGTTGTGAACACACCAAACCAACCTACATTCTTTCCCTCCTCAATCGGCAAACAGAATCGATTCAGATTTTGACTCATTTGCCATTGAGCGGCCATTTCGTTGGTTGGCGGGCACATCGTCGGCAACAATAGGCCGTTTTGTGGAAACATTGACGACATCATGGCCAATCGCAGCACATTCAAAAAATTTGGGGGCTCTGCTGGGCAAGGAGAGCCGAATCTGGAATAGATTAATAAACAAAAATTTTTTTCGCAAAAATGCTTTTCCCATTTTTTTGGCAAAAACGCTTTTTCCCAATTTTTTCGCAAAAATGCTTTTCATTCAAAAAAATATAACTATTAAAATCTTTTTTGCTTGAAAATGCTGTCCAAATCTCAACATAATATTTTTCGCAAAAATGCTTTCTGATCGTAATTTTTCGCAAAAATGCTTTCCCATTCAAAAAAATAATAACTTTTAAAATCTGTTTTGCTTTTCTCCCAATAAATGCTCTCCAAATTTTAATACAATATTTTTCGCAAAAATGCTTTCTGTTAGGATTTTTTTCTCAAAAATGCTTTCTGTTAGGATTTTTTTCGAGAAAATGTTTTCTGTTCGGAATTTTTCGCAAATATGCTTTCTGATTGGACTTTTTCGCAAAAATGCTTTCTGATTGGACTTTTTCGCAAAAATGCTTTCCCATCAAAAACGCTTTCCAAATTTCTAAAAATCACTTACAAATCGCTGAAATCGTTGCCTCTTCCATTGGGATCCCGAAATCCTTTGGCGAACGGGTTTTTTTCGATTTTCAATTTCGTTATCAGCTGGTTTTGATACGCTGTGACGGCCATAAACTTGGTCTCATCGAAGACGAAGGTTTTGTATTCTTCTTTTCGGATGTCGAAATCTGGATGATTCATGTCTAACGGAGCTGAGCGGTTTTTTCTGACCACCACGTGGACACGGGGCTGATATTTGTGCATCGAGTTGAGGACCAGCTGAAATGATGTGATTTTCAGTGAAAAAATCATTTTATATTTTTGAATTCGTTATACGAAAGCTTTGTTTTAAGTTGAACGATTGGAATGACATTCATTTTTTATTTTTTTTCATAAATACTCGATTTAGGGGTTTTCGATGGTGCTGATTTCGAAAATCATGTTAACTTTCATACAGTACTATATAGTACCATCTGATACTATGTAGTGCGAGGTGAAAATTTGGCCTTTTTTTATGAGTTAGTGGTGTTGTTCTGGTGCCTAGTGATGTTATTTTTACCTCGTACTATATAGTATCAGGTAGTACTAAATAGCACCAAGTTTTTAAAAAGTGTTTTTGAAGAGTACTAAGCATCAAAACAACGCCATTAACGCCAAAGGCCATATTTTTATCTCGTACTATATAGTATCAGGTAGTACTAAATAGTACTACAGGAAAAGTTAAGGTGATTTTCGAAATCAGCACTATTGAAAACCCCTAAATCGAATATTTATGAAAAAAGATCAAAAAATTACTACTTTACAGTACCACTTAAGGAAAAAAGTAACAATCAAAAAAAAAAATGAATGTCATTTTCGAAATCAGCACTATCGAAAACCCCTAAATCGAGCATTTATGAAAATTTTAAAAAAAGTACTACTTTACAGCACTACGAAAATAACCTACATGTCCGACCCTCGAATCGTCCGCATTATTGGTCAGTTTGGCCTTCTCAAACGTTATGATATTGTTATCCAAGCCCCGTCCATCGTGAGGTGAGTCAGGATGCAAATAAAGCCGACTTTGCGGCGAAGGCTCGGCTTTTCCACACGTCTGCCACGAGGATTTGTTATACATGTAGCGATAGCGATGATCGTCCACCGGGATCACATCCAAAAACACGTAGTATTGGTGATGAGGCTCACAACCCTCGAGTCGAACTTTTACTGTTGGAAACATCCGTCTGAAAATGTGATAAATACTAAAATTTTTTCGATAATCTTGATGATTTTTGTTCTTATGCAGTTGAATGGTGATTTTGATGATTTCTGTGGAATTCTCGGGACTTTTCACTCTTTAATTTACTAACAGGCGAAGAACTCCAAGTGCGACGCTCAGATTTTCTTTAAACTTTGCGCACACGTCGGGTATGGACTAAATATCAATTCCTGAAAGTTTTAGCTCGCGCTTTGCGGGCTCCGCCGAGATATCGAACGATCTTTGCCGCCGAGAGAGCACGCTAAACGTGGAGAGCGGTCAGAGAGGAACGCCCTTTTTTGGCCATAACTTTGGCAGTTTCGTGCGGAAAAATTTGATTTTTTGTAGAAACATTATCCTTTACGGTAGAAATAGGCATGAAACTTTTCGTGCCGAAATTCGGCAAAAAGTCCTAAATTTTCGCCGACTTTCGATCTAAAAATCTCGGTTGTTTCTGCAAAGCGCGAGCTAGGATTCTCGCATATATCTTAGAAAAAATCATTCTAAATTTGTGCCAAGTTTCATCAAAATCTGAGCGTCGCACTTGGAGTACTTCCCCTGTAAATAAAAAAAAGATTTTTTGATTGAAAATTATTATTTTTTTAAAACTTGAGCCTAAAAATTATACAGTCTCTTTGTAATGAATAACATCGTTTTTATGCAAAAAATCAATTTTTTATCATCGAAGTATCAAAAGATACGACCAACAAAGTTTTTTGTTCGACCGTCTCTCCTCATTTTCTGTAGTCTCTCGACCGCAAAGATCGTTTAATATCTCGACTGCCCCTTAAAACCGGAAGCTAAAATTTTTCAGGAATTGGTATGTAACATACATGAATCATATAGGCCAAATTTCATAAAAATCGCTCGAGGCATTTTATTCAAAAAAATGCTTTTTTCCTGACCCCTCCAATTTTACGGACTTTTTCGCATTTTTATTTACTATTGCAAAACTACTGCGTGGTTCCTTACAATATATATATTTTCTGAAATCCAGCTTTTTACACTACTGCTATACAAAATTTCAGCCTTCTAGCGCAAACGGCTAGCGAGATATTGAGAGAAAAAGCAAGCGCATTCCGAAAAAAAATTGAAAAAGTCGCGGAGATCGGTTGTGTTCCAAAAGAACAGAATGCCGTGCTATTGATATTTTCGAAATTGAAATTTTAACCTTGCGCTTTCATTCGCTTTTTCGAAATTTATTTTTCTTTTTGTTTTTTTCTTCATCCGTCCCTTTTTGGCCACATCCCGCTCCAATTAGCGCATTCCAAAGGCTCTCGGACCGCGTGGCTGAGTGGTCTAGTGGTATGATTCTCGCTTCGGGTGCGAGAGGTCCCGGTTTCGATTACCGGCTCAGCCCAATTTTAGTACTCTAACTTTTTATCGACAAAACTGGCCAACACAAAGTTTTTTTTTGTTGTTACAAGTTGTAAACATGACGTCTATAGTATGCCCTGGAAAAAAAAACTTGTCCATTCGACGACATTTCGCGTCGACCTTTAGCTCTCTTTTCTTCGCTCCTATGGGAGCAATTTCGCGCGTTTAAACTTTCTGACTCTGGGGCAGCTGTCACAAGTTTTTAAAATTCAAAATTACTCAATTTGTAATAACTGCCGACGAAGTAGTAAAATTATTCAAAATCACCACCAATTTGGAGTTTTACGGGTTTTTTTGAGGGGGAAAACAAAACATTGGGATTACTGTAGATTTTCGGAAAGAAACATTTTGCGCGGATTTTGGTGAATTTCTGGGCAAATTTAAATCAGTATTTTTTCTAAGACTTATGTGAAATTTTTAGCCTGGATTTTGCAAAAAAAACCGCAACTTTTATGCAAATTTCAGCCCAAAAGCTTCGTAAAATCTTTGAAAACGCGTTAGAAAATTGAAAAATCAAGTTGCGTTTAGTTTTTATCAATTTTTTGGTGAAACCATCCTAATTTTGCACAGTGCATTTTTCTAATTGAAAAAAGCCTGTAATTTTGCACAGTGCAGTTTTCTAATTAAAAAAAGCCTATGACTTTGCACTGTGCAGTTTTCTAATTGAAAAAAGCTTACGATTTTGCACAGTGCAGTTTTCTACATAATTTAAAAAAGCCTATAATTATGCACTGTGCAGTTTTGTAATTGAAAAAAGCCTATGACTTTGCACTGTGCGGTTTTCTAATTGAAAAAAAGCCTATGATTTTGCACAGTGCAGTTTTCTAATTGAAAAAAGCCTGTAATTTTTGCACTGTGCAGTTTTGTAATTGAAAAAAGCCTATGACTTTGCACTGTGCGGTTTTCTAATTGAAAAAAGCCTATGACTTTGCACTGTGCGGTTTTCTAATTGAAAAAAGCCTATGATTTTGCACAGTGCAGTTTTCTAATTAAAAAAAGCTTACAATTTTGCACAGTGCAGTTTTCTAATTGAAAAAAACCTATGATTTTGCACAGTGCAGTTTTCTAATTGAAAAAAAGCTTACAATTTTGCACAGTGCAGTTTTCTAATTGAAAAAAGCCTATGACTTTGCACTGTGCAGTTTTCTAATTGAAAAAAGCCTATAATTTTGCACAGTGCGATTTTCTAATTGAAAAAAGCCTGTAATTTTGCACAGTGCAGTTTTCTAATCAAAAAAAAAGACTATGATTTTGCACAGTGCAGTTTTCTGATTGAAAAAAGCCTATGATTTTGCACAGTGCAATTTTTTTCAAAAACCAAAAAATTAAGTGATCAAAAAATCACAAGATTTTTTCAAAATTATTTTCTCACCTTCCGCACTTGGTAATGATCATTTCGGTGCCCAATTTGTAGAACTGAGCCCACATTTCCTTCCCTTCCAATCGACAATTCAGTCCCTCCAAACTGGCCGAATTGCCCGGGGGCACCCACGTCTCCTCTCGTCGTCTGTCCGTCGTTTCCTCATCCAGCTTGGTCTCTTCTTCTTCAACCGCCGAGTTGTTGGTGGAATTCAAAATTTCGTCGATGGAAAAACGACATCTTTTGGAAACAACCTCCTCGTTTGAGTGGGCGAAATTTCGTTTGGGCATCACTGAAAAGAACGATGAAAAAACGGTTTTTGAAAAAATTGGGGTAAAATACGAGGTAGGAGGAGTATATAGGACACGAAAAAATTAAAAAAATGCATTCAAAATCCATTAATTTTTGAAAATTTAGTAAAACTTGGTGACAAATTAAGTCTGTAGTTTTATAAGACTACGATATGTTTATAACTTTCATTTTTCAAAAACTCGTTGGGATTTTTTAGGTTAAAATTTGCAGAAAATCTAATAAAAACACTTTTTTTGCAAATAAAAACACTTTTCTCTGCCGTCTCTCCTCATTTTCTAATAATGTCTCATGAACCAAGATTGTTGAATATCTCGGCTGTGGCTTCAAGGAATGTCCTAAAATTTTCAGGAATATGCCTAAGGAGCCTATAGAGTATTCTCTGAGAATTTAAAAATGATATAGGGGCCTTTTCTTGAAAGGTAGGGCGCAGGCTGCCGTTGTCAAATTACGGTAAAATACGCTGGAATCAGCTTAAAGTTAAAGAGCTGGGTGATTGTATATATGCCTACGGTGTATACAGAGTATTCTCTGAGAATTTGAAAAGATATGGGACTTTTTTCTTGAAAGGTAGGGCGCAGACTGCCGTTGACAAATTACGGTAAAATACACTGGAATCAGATAAATTTTAAAGAATTTGATGATTATATATGCCTACGGTGTATACAGAGTATTCTCTAAAAATTTGAAAAGATCTAGGACTTTTTTCTTGAAAGGTAGGGCGCAGGCTGCCGTTGCCAAATTACGGTAAAATACACTGGAATCAGATAAATTTTAAAGAGCTGGGTGATTATATATGCCTACGGTGCCTACAGAGTATTCTCTGAGAATTTGAAAAAGATCTGGAAATCTCTTCTTGAAAGGTAGGGCGCAGACTGCCGTTGTCAAATTACGGTAAAATACGCTGGAATCAGCTAAAATTTTCAGAAATATCCCTACGGTGCCTACAGAGTGTTCTCTGAAAATTTGAAAAAAATCTGGAAGTATGTTCTTGAAAGGTAGGGCGCAGACTGCCGTCGACAAATCCTGGTAAAATACGCTGAAATGGATTATTAGTTGAATAGCTGGGTGATTTCAGTGTGAAATAGAGGTTTTAACAATACATTTTGCCTAAAATTTTTTTTGAATCTACAAAATTTCGAAATTTTTTTCAAAAAGTTTAAATTCTTGCTACGCAAAATTTCGACCTCTCCCAAATTCACAACCCGCTGCCTTGGCCGTCAAAAATCTCGCTGACATTTTAATGTCTCTCAGAATAAAATCGAAATAAAAAAAACTTTTTGAGGCGCGCCTTTCGACGGCCGCCCAACGCCCGAACAACCATTAAGCCGGAGGGGATTACGGTGGAAAAATGGCTTCGAAACTAGAGCTTTCGGAAGCCAGAGAGTGTCCAGAGAGCATGCGCAAAATTTTCGCGGGTTTTCACGTTTCGCCGAGCGCGGATTCGACGAAAAGAGGGGCGCGCGCGCGGCCGCAAATTTGTCAAACAATGTCACCAAAAAAGCTGTTCGCTTCGGGCGGCCGGAGATAAGAACAGTGGATTACGAAAAATGGAATTGAATGTGAAATATTGCCGCCCGCCAGGCCCCCTCCCTCCAATTCCCCCCGCAGGATTTGCGAATCAAAATGTGGAGCGGAATCGAGAGTAAACTGGGAATGCTTGAGGAAAAAAGAGAGGGGTTCAAGTTGAGTTCAGTTAAAAAAAGAGCTGGATCTTGAGGAATCAAGCGGAATATAGGCTGAAAAATATTTTTGATTACAAAAGATTACTGTAACAGGTTTAGTATTACTAAGAAAATGAGAAAAATGAAGGCTGAAAAAAATTTACAGGGTGGGGCATCTTTGTGGCCCGATTTGAATTGGCTATAACTTCTTTAGTTTTTGGCCAAATCTTAAAATTCTTTTTTTTCCTGAATCCTCAGACAACCCCTTTTTGTTTGATACCAAATATGTTATACATAGTAAGTGTCATCTACAGTTATTGGATTTATTCTTGGAACTGGGCCTAAAATTGCGATTGTGGCTTCAAAAGACATCCATAAGACATCCATAAGACTCTTCATTTGCCATGTACAGAGGCCATCGAGATAGGGAGGTCAAATAACATTTAAAAAAAATCAATCTTGTCGATAGACCTCGATCTAAAAATCTTGACAGTTTCCCGGAAAGCTAGAGCCAAAAATTTGACGCGTAATTTAAAAAATTTAGTCTAAATTTATGCCAAGTGTCTTTTCTTCACAATCTGAGTGTAAGAATTTGAGTAACGTTTCTTTGAAATTTCAATTTTTTAAGAGATATGCGAGACTTCTAGCTGGGGTTTTGCAGACAAGACCGAGATTTTTTAGGTCAAAAGTTGGCAGAAAAATGACACCTTCTTTGCGAGTTTCGGCACGAAAAATTTCATTTCTATTTCTACCGTGGAGGGTAATTTTTCTACAAAAAATAAATTTTTTCCTCCCGAAATTATCAAAGAGGTGGTCAAAAAGTATTTTCCTCTGTGACCGCTCTCCGCGTTTCGCATACTCTCTCGGCCGCAAAGATTGTTGAATATCTCGGCAGCGCCTGCAAAGTGCGAGCTAAAATTTTCAGGAATTGATTTGTGGTCCATACCCGACGTGTGTGAAAATTTAGAGTAAATCTGAGCGTCCTACTTGGGATACCCTTCAAAAAAATACAGTTTTAAGCTAAAATTTATTCTGTAATAGCTAATATTGCTAAATTTAATAGCATTATTAAGCTAATTTACTTTGTTCTACAAGCCCTCTGAATTCGATTATCCCACTTCGAAGCCCCCCCAGCGATAACGATTCCCCATTCCGCGGCCCCAAAAAGTTTTGTCACCCTCTCGAACAAAACCGACGCAATCTCGGCCCAATCTGCGTCGGCAATATTTCCCTCGCGCGCGCGAAAAACATTCTTTTCGCGCTATGAAGATGAAGCGCGAAAAGTCGTCGGGAGAAGCCGCCAACGAGTCCCCGGAGGCCATTCGCGGGGACAATTGGGGGGACGGAGATGAGAGATAAGATGACAACTTTCGGGTTGTCAAATCTCGCCTCTTTCGGGGCCGGCGAACTCGGCCCAATTGAGTTGGGGAAGTGCGAAAAGAGCCAACCAGAAAGATTAAAATGGGTGTTATAGAGGGTTTTCGGGATTTTTTAACTTCTTGAAATTAAAAAAAATTAAAAAAATTAAAAAAATTTTTTTTTAAAATACGTAACGAAATAATATATAGTTGATGATAATCACCAAATTTTTTTTTTATTTTTAAGAGCTTTATAAAATAAAAAAATCAAAAAAATTATAAGAAAATACTGAGCAAAGCAATGGTAAAATACGAGGAGATTTGCGGATTATATACGGCGTTTTTTGATTTTTTTCAAAATTGAAAAAACTAATAAAATAGAAGAAATTTTAAAATACGACCGGGACAGCATTAGTGGTTTCTGTTAACAAGGGAAGTACCCCAAGTGCGACGCTCAGATTTTCTTTAAATTTTGCACACACGTCGGGTATGGACTAAATATCAATTCCTGAAAGTTTTAGCTCGCGCTTTGCAAGCGCCGCCTAGATGTTGAACGATCTTTGCCGCCAAGAGAGTACGCTAAATGCGGAGGGCGGTCAAAGAGAAAAACACTCTTTGGCCATAACTTTGCTAGTTCCGTGTGGAAAAAATTGATTTTTTGTGGAAACATTATCATTTACAGTTGAAATAGGCACGAAACTTTTCGTGCCGAAATTCGGCAAAAAGTACTAAATTTTGGCCGGCTTTCGATCTAAAAATCTCGGTTGTTTCTGCAAAGCGCGAGCTAGGATTCTCGCATATATCTTAGAAAAAATTACTCTAAATTTGTGCCAAGTTTCATCAAAATCTGAGCGTCGCACTTGGAGTACTTCCCCTGTGAATTGGGGAAGTGCGAAAAGAGCCCAGCAGAACGATAAAAATGGGTGTTATACAGGGTTTTAGGGATTTTTTAACTTTTTGAAATTAAAAAAAATTAAAAAAATTAAAAGATTTTGTTTTAAAATACGTGCTAAAATAATAATAGCTGATGATAATCACTAAAAAATTTTTTTATTGGAGTTTTATAAAATAAAAAAATCAAAAAATTATAAGAAAATACTGAACTAAAAAATGGTAAAATACGATGAAGGTCACGTCGTTATTGATTTCATGTGGAAAAAAATTATTTTTTGTGGAAAAATTACCCTGTACGATAGAAATAATTATTAAACTTTTCCTGCCAAAGTTTGCAAAAAAACGTCTTGTTTTTACAAATTGTCAGCATAAAAATCTCGGTCGTTTTTGGAAAGCGCCAAGCTCGATAATTCTGTGGCACTTCGCAAAAAAATCAATGATCCGAGATTCCTTGTTTTTTCAATTTTCTGAAAGAATTGTTTTGACGTGAAGTACCCCAAGTGCGACGCTTAAATTTTGATGAAACTTGGGGACAAATTTAGAATAATTTTTTCTAAGATATATGCGAGAATCCTAGCTCGCGCTTTGCAGAAACAACCGAGATTTTTAGATCGAAAATCGGCCAAAATTTAGGACTTTTTGCCGAATTTTGGTACGAAAAGTTTCATGCCTATTTCTACCGTAAAGGATAATATTTCTACAAAAGATCAAATTTTTCCGCACAAAACTGCCAAAGTTATGGCCAAAAAGCGTTTTTCTCTCTGACCGCTCTCCACGTTTATCGTGCTCTCTCGGCGGCAAAAATCGTTCGATATCTCGGCGGCGCCCGCAAAGAGCGAACTAAAACTTTCAGGAATTGATATTTCGTCCATACCCGGCGTGCGTGCAAAATTTAAGGAAAATCTGAGCGTCGCACTTGGAGTACTCCCCCTGAAAATTTTATTTTCTGACCCCTCTAGCTTCCGACCAAAAAATTTTTTCATTTTCACAAATTGCCAACTAAACGCTGCTAATTACCGAAAGTCGAGTCTCACTTTCCAATAATTACTCGAATTGCCCGGAGGA